TCTCTCTCTTCGCTTTTTTTTTTTTTTTTGATACAGGGTTTTTCTGTGTAGTCCTGGCTGTCCTGGAACTCACTCTATTGTAGACCAGGTTGATCATGAACTCAGAAACCTGCTTGCCTTTGCCTCCCAAGTGAAGATCCTTAAGGTTCTTAATGTAATCTTGGATCCTTGACTGCAGTGTCTTTGGGTTTTTGCTTCTAGTAATGTTAGTTTTACCCCTTTCCTCACCTGCTCCAGGTCTCTGTAACATCTCTTGGATTGCCCTAAAAGTCTCAACTGGTTCCACTCCCTGCTCCTGTCTCTTCTTCAAGCTTTGCAAGGGTTCAACGCTCATAATTCTATATCTCTGTGTAAAAGACACCATCTTTCTGTGTTAAATTTGGTCCTTAGAGGATGATCATGAACAAACAAAAGTGGCTAATGATTAAACTCCTAAAACCCTGTTTCTATTGTTTCTTCATTCTATAATTTTGTTCCTGTCATGGTCAGGTACATTTTAGGGCTCATGGGTAAAAAGCTCAGTAATCTTACAAATCTATAGGAATAGCAGCACACATCTCTGTTAGATGAACTATACAGTCCACAAAGTGAAGATGAAATTTCCCTTGTTCCTCTCTGCCTAAACTGAAGCGATTTTATGGTTAGTTTCTATAAAACTGACAGTTTCTTACCTTCTGGCATCACCTGAAGTACTGAAGAAACAAGCATTAAATAATCTGTCTTATATAAATGTATTATTAGGAAAAAAGAGCTGCTTTTGATAGTAGCCACTAAGTAAATACTATAATTTACAGAACCACAGATGCTTAAACATTTAAGTAAAAAATACATGATATAATGCTAATTTACAATAATTTATAATAAAAAGAAAAGTCACCGAATTTTTCTTGGCTTGTAGTTCAGAGAAATGAAACTCAGCCTTTGTCCTATCATCTGTAGTTATAGGAATTCCATCCAACATCTGTAAATTCGGCAGGCGGAATATGAGCACGTGGCGATGTGCCATTTTTCTACAAATCTAAAGAAAGGTAAAAATAATAGTTTATTCTCCAAATCCCTTGCATCAAAAGAATGCAGTTTTGGAAAGAACACAAAAATGATGCATGACAGTAACTTTACAATCTTAGGTGGTGAGGTGGTGGTGCACGCCTTTAATTCCAGCACTTAGGAAGCGGAGGCTGGTGGATTTCCAATTCTGAGACCAGCCTGGTCTACAGAGCGTTTTCCAGGAAACCCATGGCTGCACAGAGGAATCCTGTCTTTAAAAAAAGCAAACTAAACCAACCAACCAACCAAACAACCAACCAACCAACCAACCAACCAACCAACCAACCAACCAAACAAACAAACAATATTAGATCCTCCAGGCAGAAACTTTTTCCTGGGAGGTTTCTCAATCTTCTGCTACGTCCAATGAAAATAGAAAATATTTCTAAACTAAAGCTACTGTTAAGAGGTTTAGTCTTTCTCCTTTGCTTCTTCCTTCCTTTTCTTTCCCCCCCCCCACTTTCTCTCCCTTCCTCTTGTCTTTCCCCACCCCCTCTACGTATCCTAGGCTGGTTTGAACTAACAGTCCTTTTGCTTCAGCCTCCTGGGTGCTGGTATCACAGGTGGGTGCCACCACACTTAGACTTTCATCCCTCTTAAGTTCATATAGCATTGCCCATTAGCTAGAGAAAAATCTCAGCCTGTGGGTAGAAATCTAGGAAAGTTCATTTATAAATAATTAGTTTATGTGAAATTTTCCAAAAGGCCCTATTCAATATCTTCTGGCCTGTATGATTGATCTCTTCAGAGGGTTAACCTGCTATAAAAATATTGGCATATATGCAAAAAAGGTAGGTGGAACGACTTCAGTAGAGTGGTCTGATGGTGTTGATTCCAGAAGGTTCTGTTTGCAAGGATGGCTCTTTCTTAGTGTTCGGTACCTGGACTTGGGGATGTGCTTATCATTCCTTGGATGATAAGGGTAGTTCACTATGTCTTGGTATTTACTAAAAGTAATAGTGTTTGTACTCAACCTGTTTTCCACCTGGAATTTGGAACTTCAGTTCTCGGTTGGGAAAGGGTACCTATGTAATCAACTTCCAACTTTTGGACTGCTGAGTCTCTAAGGGGCTCCCTTGAATAAAAACATAGCATATAAGAGATGCCATTTTGTGGCTAAGTGAAGAGTGTGCTCTCTGTCCCCTGCCATGGATGAGAAAGCAGGAGGAAACACACATACAGACAGATTCCTCCAGACTCTGTCTTTTTCCTCCTCATAACCCATGGTTGTGCAACTAATCTCAGTTCCGTGTCCCCATTGTGCCATTGCAACTGATCTCAGTTCTGTATCCTTACTGTGTTATTGCATTTGATCTTAGCCACAAGGAAAACATTATGCTGACGGAATCTCTTTAGAAAATCTCTAAAACAGTGGTGATCTTGAGGACCCCTAATATAGAAAGTATACAACACTGTCTGAAATGTCGAAGAACAACAAACTCTTTGAGTTGAATGCGTAAGCTGGGCCTGGTAACTCACGCCTGTGGGTGGAGCACTCGGGAGGTTAGAGTGGGAAGATTACCGTGAGTCAGAGGCCAGCTTGGCTAGTATAGTAAGTTCCAGAGCAAGTGAAAAGGAAAAGAGCAAGAACAAAAACAAAAACAGAAAAGGGAAATGAACAAACTGCTTGAAATGAATGTGGCAAGGATCATGTTCAGTGATGGAGAAAGACCTCCAAAACATGTAACAGCCAAACAAATCACTGACCACATTCTAGGTGACAAAGCAATTTTCTTAGAATATAGAGCCTGCTTTCTCTGACTGAAATGCTCCAAAACTTAAGGCAAACGATGAAGATAACAACTAGAAACTAGAAAAATGGACTTAAAATGACTGCAAATCTATGCACAGTCCTTAATAATTTACAAATGAAGATAAAGTCTTTTGAAGAGTAGAATATTTTGAGATAAGAAGATTAGTAAAAGCAACATATATAAAAACTCTCAGGGCATTGTTGGAGCAGTACTATGTAACCTACAATATATTGATTAGAAATATATTGGAATTGATATTAAGTTAAAATGATTAAAATTAAGAAATATGAAAAGTAAAATTTTCTTTGAAAAATGTCAAGAAACTAAAAGAAGGAATTGGTAAAGAACAGATGTTGATAAAATAGAAAGCAAACAATGCCCCTGAGAAGGAAAAATTATGGAGCTCTAAATAAGCAAGCACTGTAAGTAAACAAGGTTCTAGCAAGATTTACCAAGAATAAAACACAAAAGCAAAAACTGACAACCGTAGGCACAAAGGGGTGACAAAAACAGATATAGTGGAGAATTAGGAATAAAAGTGCTCCCAAATAATCTAATAAAGCAAAAGATATTATGTCAGACTTAAAGGTATGGTATAAAAAGACAGAATTACAGTTTTATCTGCATAGATACAGATATGCTACATTAAATACTATCAGATTGGATGTAATAAGATAAAAAACATGAACAAGTAATAGTCACACTATGAATTTAAGGGTAGCTTTACTCTACGAAGTCTGCTAATGACATTTAGTTTATCAGCAGATGAAAAAGGAAACTATATTGTCTATCAGTCAAAACCCAGTGTCCATTGTTATGAAACAGACATTGGGAACTAGAAAGGCAGTTCCTTCAATTGTCAAAAGCTGCTTTCCCATAATTCATTGTGAATATCATCTCTGACAGAGACAACTTGGGAGCATTCTTTTAAAATCATAGTATATAAAAAATTTTCAAAAGGTTTTTTTGTTTTTGTTTTTTTCTTTCTTTTTTTTTTTACAAACTATTACAACTAAAAATGGGGCTTGGCAAGCTGCCTAGACAAAAGAACAATATACAAAAGTCACAATTTTGTGTTGGGTTAACTAGTTATGTACATAGAGATAGAAAAAGCAAATCACTTTCTCATATCATATAAAAATTACATATGATAATTGGGAAGTGAATAAGTCATAAAGGTAAATACTCACTGGATTGCCATAGACAGTAAGCTCTCTGAGAGAAGGGATAACATCAAGCTTTTCCAGTTCTGCAATTTCCTATGTAAAAGGGAATAAATTATCATTTGGTTAGCTTACATTTCCTAACATAAACCACGCCAAAGCAGTTTTATGCAAACCTTAGATTTCCGGTAGCTCCCACTGGATCCTCAGAGCGAACCCCAGTGAAGCCTGTCGACTCCCACTGCATGGCTTGGGAAGATGACACTGTGAGGTGGAAAGAAAGCCACACAGCAGGACTGAAAGATGACAGAAAACGTGTGTAGGAGGTTATAAGCCACCCTAGGGCAGAAATGGCGGCCTTCAGGATAGAAGCGTTATACTGACTATGCTCTGATACACTAGCTGAGAAAGAGACAGCAGATTCAGAACTGTGCCCTGGTCCAATGTGTTGCCCTCCACAGCGCACAGGACTGTTTCCTTGCTATCACTTCACATCACGGTAAGTTTGTAGTAGTGTTGCTTTGCCAAAAATTTAAAAAATACATACTTTAATGTATATGTGTTTTGCCTTCATTGTGTGCTCAGATGTTTAAAAGCACATGGAGAGTCTGGGTTCCAGACAGAGGACTCATCTAACCACGGGGATCAGATGGGACTGGGGCACCGCAATCTTTGTGTTGCAATGATTCTTAGACCCAATGTAATAGGCCGCATTTTCTTGGTCTACATTGGGGAAGTCGAAAGCTTCACACCATAGACTGCAGGTCAGTGAGAGACTCTATCTACCTTTATCTGAAGTACTAGTGTTTTGTTAATTTTTTTTTTCAAGACAGGGTTTCCTAATAGCTCTAGAGCCAGTCCTGGAACTTGCTCTGTAGGCTATGCTTGAACGGACAGAGGTTCGCCTGCCTCTGCCTCCAAGTACTGGCATTAAAGGCCTGTACCACCACCACCTAGCTGTTTTGTTCATTTTTTAATAGGTTTTCCTCTTTTCCTATCACTCTTGGCCAACACAGAGACTGTATTCTGATTGCTCATATGTAGAATGAATGCTCATATCAGATTGCTCAAATTGGTATGAATCCAGAGATGAAGTCTCTCCCCTGAAGAAACTTTGAATGAACAGCGAAGATTTTAAAAGAACATGGTTTCAGAAGAACTGGACTAGGTTTCCAGCTCTCTCTTCCTCCCCAGCATTCATTTTCCCCTCCAGTTAACTGTATATGGTCATATTAAGGTACAAGAAGACCAGCCATTAGCATAAGTTCAGCGGTAAAACCATCCATCTAAACTCAGTGGGCAATGCCATCTCCAGGATAAATATTGAAGGCTAAACTCCTTCAACAACCACGAAAGCTCAGTATTCCTTCAATGATTCATGAATAATCCCTATGATTTGTCACAGGCTACCATACAGTCATATTAAATTTTGACAGCAAAACCTACTAAACAGGATCTGTTCACATTGCCGAAGAGGGAGCTACCATACCAAGCTTCTCTACCATCTCCTCCATCCCTTACAGGGAATAAGGTGTCGATAGGTGAACAGGGACATCCTGAGGAGAAGTCAGTTACCTGATCCAGGTTCCTTTAAGCATGCTACTAACTGGGTGTCCTGGCAAATAGAGCAATAGCATTTTCCAGAAGCTTCTACTTGTGGCATTCTCTTTACAGATCTGTCTGGATAAAGACTACCTACAGCCAACTAAGCTAGAATTTATGGAATTACAAGGCACGGCCTCTAATAAGATGCTTAAGCGCAAAATGGAGATGTTTCAGGAAACAGTCCCCTACTCAGAGACCATGCCACAAAATCTGTCCTGGAGGTCATCACTTTTAGGAAAGCAATAAAACACCCAAGGCCTCAAGTATTAGTTATTGAAAGGATACACAAAACTTGTGGAGGTTTTGTTTGTTTTTACCGGGCTTGTGTAAGCTAAGGCTCTGGGCGTGCTGAACACACGTTCTGGCACAGAACTGCCCCCCAGTTCTAAGTCTCCTTTGTTACACTCCTGCACTGTTGCCAGAAAAGTTCCATAGAATACCAATTTCCCCAACTTTCATTTCTCCTAAATAAAGTTTCGGAAAGCTTGTTGTCAGTTTGGCCAGGCTTTCCTCTGAATGGTGTTTGAATCTGGACAACTCGGGCATATGCTATACCTCTCGGTATGTATGTTTCTCACTTGTTAAGTCAAAAGGGACATCACTCATGATTTCCTTCTCACTTTGGAGAGAATTTCATATTATCTCAGAAAAGCCTTCTTGAACTTAGCAAATAGAGCCTTAGACAAATACTTAAGTGTCTAGGTCTACCATGTACCATGTGCTATACTGATATGAATTTGGACCAGATGGACACAGGTCCTGCTCAGGCAGGGCAGTGTATACAGTTCAGCCTGTCTTTGAAACTGCCTCAGAAGGACGGCGAGCAGAAGCAACAGTGGTGAAGGCAGGTGTGTAGGTCACTACCAAAACGCTGATACAAACACAAACTCTGTTAGGTTGTAGCAACCCTCGTACCTGTATACGACCTCAGGAGACAGTCTAAGAAGGGCCAGTTGGTGCTTGCTGTACCCTAAGAGCAACAGCTCAGTTCTGAGTACAAAGTCCTACAGAAGGAAGACATGAAGGGGAAGGGCTGCAGTGTTAACGCCAGGCCCGTGAGAGAGATGAGACACAAGGCGGAGTGAAAGGGCCGGAGGAAGGCTTCCGCAGAGACTCAGAGACAGCCTAGACCAAGAGCATCAAGGAGTAAGTGCGAACTGTGAGAGAGGAATGGTGAGACCAGCTTCAGAACTCGACTAAACTAGCCTCAGTGGGCGGGTGCATGTTGTGCAGGTCATAAGCCTAGAAGAATGAAAACCTCTTTGCATCAGAGCACAGCACGTGCCCGAGACAGGCTTGTTATACAGCAGCCACGCCACCCTAATTGGTGCGTTCGGGAGCTTTATGTCCAGATCACAGAGGATTTTAGCTATGTGAACCTCAAAACGCCAGTACCCCTAGGGCCGTTACCTGGATTTTATTATATCCAAGGAAGAGTTTCTCCAGCTTGACCAACGATTGCAATTTGCCCAGCTCTCGCAGCCTGTTTTCCTCCAGGTGAAGGGTCAGCAGGGAACTCGGTTTGGCAAAAGCACTGTCATTGAACGCTCGGATGCGGTTATGGTCGACGACCAGCTCCTGAAGGACGATCAGGTTGTCCAGCCCTTCGACCTGACTGATCTCATTCCCTAAACAGTTACGACATGCTGCATGAGCGCCAGCTTATGTACCTGCCTTTAGTTAAGTATTTATCAAATTATTTTCAAAGCTAAATAAGGACACATATTTTTTTTGTCTCAACATTGTAACACAAATTGGTCTTTACCTAATGAGCAGCCTTTCCCCCCAAAATTTTATCTACCCTTAGCAATCCATCTTGTCGATCTGTTAATTCAACAACAAAATTGTCTTGGACTAGTTTTCCTCTCTTTCTGATATATCTAATTAGTCACTTAATCCTAATATTTATTCCTTTGTAACTGACTTTTAGACTTATCATTTTGATTGATACCACTGTGGGCCAGGCCATTATAGGTATATATTAATGCAACTCTGGATCAAAACTGCATGTGCTTTAGAGTCAGACAGACCTGAGTACCATGACATAATGGTGCAAACTTGGGTACATTATTTAGCCACATGGAACCTCAATTATTTCTTCTTCCCACCCCCAGGTGTCCTAAAGCAGGGAAATAGCTAAGAAAATATGACAGATAAATATACAATGGATCTTTCCAGTCTTAAAGAAGAACAAGATTATATTCTTTGCAAGAGAATGCACACAACTGGAGATAATCACGTTAATCAAATTAAGGTAGTCTCAAAAAAACAAATCTCATATATGTTAGTGAATCCATCTAAGAGAACAAAGGGGACTGACTAATGAGGGGCAGAAGGGGGGGGTCAAGGGAGGTAGAGAATACCCTCAACATACAATATATACGTGTATGAAAATGTCCCTGTAAATAGTACCAGGCACAATGAGTATATGCAATTAATTTTTAAAAACTTATTTGATGATATTCAGCTAAACTAAAGGAAAAATGTTTTCGATTATTAGATGTTGGTGTCAGTGACCATTAGAATAAATGGTGAGGCTGGCTGGCACTTGTTTGTTAAAGCAAGATGATCCACTCAGTCACAGGACTTATGGACTACTGTCTACTCACCCTGCAGAAAGAGGAATTTTAAGTTTCTTAGTCTGTTAAGTTGTAGCTGGACTAAGTTACAAATTCCGTTGTATCCCAAATGAAGAACCTCTAAACTCTGCATTATCGGAGCCATGTTTTCTTTGCTTACTGCATCTCTGAAACACATAGTTTGAGGTCGTTAGTAGAGTTGAAAGTAACTTTGTCGTAAAAGAAGGTTTGAAATGTATTCTCTGTAAAGTGAAAGTAAGATGAAGGTTTGCATGAGCTTTTGTCATATGACAGTCAAGAGTGCTTTTATAATAATTTTAATCTCTTAAATGTTTATATGGAAAAGAATTAAGTACAGAAAGCCACAATGGAAAGTGAAACCAATTCAATCAGGCAAGAAAAAGAAAAATGTTGTATTCCATAACAAGTACGGTTATCTTCATTCTCAAAGGACATAATCCCTGTATGTATTAAATTTTATCGGATCTACCAAAACCACTAATCGAGCCAATGAATTACTCCATCAAAGCCACAAGATAAAATAATAAAAATAGTCTGAAGTTCCAATGCCAATAAAAAATTAAAAATAAAATTAAGGAAACAGTTCTTACATTGTTTATAACAGTGTAAGAGGAAATAAGTTGAGAACACTTTAGAATGAATTCCAAAAATTAAGCACAAAATTTATACACATAACTGAGTTAAACCAATGAATGTATCAGTAAGTAAAACATTATTTCACATTTGCGGATTAGAAGTCTGAATATTATTAAAATGAAAATTCTTTCCAAATTGATAGTAGAGTAAATACAATCTCTATCCAAAGCTCTTTAGGAGAAAATGAACTGTCTTAAAATTTATAAAGAATTCAAAGAACTCTGCACATCCAAAAAATATTGAAAAAAATAAGTTAGGCAGCTTACATTTGTATAATCATATACTGAAACAGTACACAGCAGAGCAGTGAAATTAATTAGTGGCCCTTGCAATGACGAGGATGGGTCTCAAAAAGTAAGCTAAGTGAAAGAAGTCAGACATCAAACGACAGTAGGGGGAGGGCCTGGAGGTGAGGGCAGGGGCATGGGGGATAGGGAGAAGGATACAGTAGTAGGGGACAGAAGATAACCAGAGTATGGTATACACACATGAACTGCCATAGTGAGACCCATTAGTTAGTACAAGGTTAATAAAATACAAGGCTAATTAAAAATGAAAAGAGTACTCACGATGTAACTCCAATCTTACACAATTCTAGAAAGAGGCAAACTCACAGGGAAAGCAAGCAGATCAGTGGCTATCGCCGAAGGCTGGTATGTGGGGAAAAGGGGTTGCGAAGAAAACGGAGGGTGGCTTGAGGGGGCAGTTATCTCGCACTGTGGTTTTAGCCATGGTTACAGGACGGAAAACATTTGTCAGAAATCATTAAATGGCACACTGAAGCTGGTGACTTTGTTACGTGCGAAGTGTACCTCAATAAAGATGGCAAAAACAAGGAATATTCTTCATAGAAATAAATGAAAATATTTAGACTTGGTGATACACACACACACGCACACATTTTACATACATACACACATCTCTGTCTGTCCATCTGTCTGTCTATCTAGCCATCCACCCATCCTTTTATAAACGTATGGGAAAGCTAGAGATGTATCTTGGGGGGACAATGACATAGACACAGTTCATCTTTTTATTTGTGAAGTTTATTTTCGGCATATAATTTGTTAAAATATTTCTCAAAATCAGCCAAATATGTGCATTAGATTGTGTTACTTCTTGGGTTGTTTTTAGTGCGTCAAAGAATTGTAAAAAGTACCTATTTAGTTTTGAGGTTCCTTGCTGTCCATAGCCACTGGAAGGCACTTTCTGGTAGAGCAGTTGTCTGTTGCTTAAGTGAGTCTGAGGCTTTAGTCTAGGCATGATTGATTCGATATGGTTATAGTTGAGGCATAAGACCTACAGAGAGAACACTTTATTAGTCAAATGTCAATAATATATTAAGATGGGCTGACTAATACTTGCGATAGAGACAATAATTAGTAATATATTATCATGAAAAATAAAATAATTTATCCCAAAGTATTTAGATTTAGCTTGGAGTGTGTTTTTAATGATTATACACTTTGGAGAATCACTACAGACAAAACATCCAAGACCTTAGCCAGCTACCGAGCTTTCCCAAGCGGCCCTCCTGGTTTGTCTAAGCCTGATACAGATGAAATAATTCCTTAGAAAGTTTTCTGTTTCTGTGTGTAGAGGCCTTTAATTGCTGACTGAGTTGAAGCAATGAGGCTGCTTTGAGAACCACTTATTCTCAGCTTCATTTCATGTGTGCTCACTAGAGACATGGCCGCTCATCTCATCTCCTCCTGAAGAGTAAGATCTGTTTTGTAAGTCAAGGATGTAAGATAGATCGTTGAAAAAATAAAAATGCTGGAAGGTAAGACTAAGATCTTTTTCCTCGATTAGTGAAAAACAGTAAAATACAATTTAGGGAATAATTTTGACACCTTAATAAGGAAATGCATTTTAATGTAAAATGAAGTTTAAAGCTTGCGTGAAGCCTTTGAGAGCAAAGCGAGCTTTCAGCCACATGCCTTCACGTTGGGCAGGTAGATGAGGCCGCTGAATGAGGTGAGGTTGTTGTTCTGCAGGTTCACGTTGCACACATTCCTGAACTGGTCAACAGGAATCAGATCGACAGTCCTGAGTTAGGAAGCAAACACACTCATTATTTTAATGGGACAGGGCCAGTTCCTCCACAAATGTCTCCAAAGGCACCAAAGATCCTCACTGGACCAATTCTATGTAATGTCAAATATTGGAGACCGATGTCCCCCTAAGTGTGAATTTTTATTGTACAAATATGAAGAAAATGACATAGAATTTGATTACTCAAATATCTCATACCTATTACCATTAAACAATCACTGAAGAAGCTACTTATACAATAAACACTTTCAGTTGATTTACAGATTAACATGCAAGTTCATGAAATCACAGCAAACTCGACAGAGTGTCATAAAATAATCAGGTGCTAAGCTTCCATGTGCATGTGGGAAGAAGGCTGCTTCTGAGGAGACAAGAAGTGAAAGGAGCAGACAGGAAGGAGACAGCAGTGAGGGCACCGAGACCAGATGTCCTGAGATCTGCAGAAATCCTTCACAACGTTGGTTTCAATACTCATTTGAGACTGGTGATTGGGGTCTGTGGTCATGGAGAGAATGCCAGACAATTCTGGAGCCTGAACATAATAATTCCATATTCATGTTCTATCGTGCATCTAAGGATCCCATTAGAATTAATAAGGTACAATTAAAAGTGTTAGCTGGCTTTTTTTTTACTAACTTTTATTTTCACAATTTTCTTCAGATGTAATTACATTTTTGCTATTTCTTAAAAAATATATGAGTAGTAAACATTTTAAATCATGGTTTCTGATAACAAAAATTATCGCAGCATTTAAAAAGGTGTCGGAGATAGACTAGAACAATTATTGGGTGTGTTTGGAAAGGAGAGTCAGAAAAATGTGGTAATAATTACACATGTAATCTTAGTGACAAATACACACAACAAAGTGGTTATACCTGATGGATGACGAAGTCCAGTTTAGTTCTTGCATTTGAACAAAGTTGGAGTGTCCTTGTCGTTCGGCAATCATGTCAGACGTAAGTCTACCACCAAACAAATCTTTTGCATTCTCGATCTCCGGAGGTTCCTATGAGAACATTTAGAAAGCGATGACCTCTCTTACAGATGACCTCTTACAGACGAAAGTGACGCAGACACACTTATTCTTCTTCACAGCTACCCCACCCACCTAGCACACCGGATAGAGGAAACACACAAGATGATACCAGGGCTCTACGGATTCTGGGGCTTGAGAAATAACACCATGATTCTATTTTTTTGACTCCTACATGCCCAGCTGGGAAGCCCAAAAACAGAATAAAGCCCAGAACCACCCAACTTTTTCTAGTCAGTGGAGAAGCAAAGAGAAAGCCTGGCATGACGATAATTGTGGAACTTTTAGACAATAATAGGCCTGTTCCATCTAAGTACCAGGCTCAGTATTGTCATCGTACAGCAAGGCACTCCTTCGCTTTTATTTTAACTATCTGCTCTCTTCAAACTATTTCTAAATCTAGACAAAATGTGAATGAAATTTCCATATCCAAATTTAATCCCATATTTTCAACTGCCTGCCTGATATCTCTAGCCAGATAATCTAATGTCTCATAAAATGTCGTAGGTCTGAAAGTGACCGTCTTCTTCCCCAAAGCTGCCTGTCTTCTACTCATATTGTGTTCTGGGGCCTCTGCAGAATATCAGGGCTCTAAGGCTCATTGAGGGAAAGCTATTTCCTCCTGGTCAAAAGCATGGAATCCACATCTGACCTGAGTAGAGACATGGTAGACCATGGTTTCCTCCCTCAAGAGTTAATTCACCTGGGTCTGTCAATTGCTTTTCCAAGAGAGCACCCTCAGGAAGGTTTACTCACTTAAAGCCCTGTTAAAGAATTGCTAAGAATAATTATCCCTTAATGAGATAAGGTAGTTTTTCTTCAGGAAATACCACTAAGTTGACCAGAAGAATGTAACTTTCGCTTTTTCTTTTCTATCACTTTCTTTTGGATAAGAAAGTCTAAGCATGTTTTTGCTGGCATTTTGGGTCTTCTTAATCCTTCTCCGAAGCTCCCTCCTTTTGCCATATAGCTACCCGCAGCCATGTGACTGGTCACTGACCTCCATTGCTGGCCTTGTTTACCTAACTCAAAAGGCGTGATTTTTCTCTCTTCCTCCTTTTCATAAACCCTCTCCCAATGGCTGCTGAGATTTCTAGTTTGCTTGCCCTATTGTTTTCTCTTAAATGTTAGGAATATTGACCTTGAGCTTCCTAGTGAGTCTCTTTTAAAATTCTTTTTGGAAGGCTAAGAACCCAAAGAGATAACCCCAACTCCCCGCAATAACACTTAAACTATTGTTGCTGACTTTGTAGATACCTTTGCATGTTTGCTGCCCATGAGCGATAAATTCTGTTAATTTCCCCAGTATTTCTCTCAAGTTTCAGCTTTCTGTTTTTGTTTGTTTGGTTGGTTTTGAGATAAGGTCTTTCTACACATCCCTGGCTGTCCTGGAACTCACTATGTCCTCATCTGCCTGCCTTCTGCCACTGCCTCCGGAGTGATAGGATGAAAGGTGAGTGTCACCACACTCAGCATTTGGAGTCACCTCCTTCTGGTTCAGTTTCTCATTATTTTGCTCCTGTAATATTTTAGTTTTATTTTGAAAGACTGTTATTTGTTCTACTTCAGCAAATACTGCTACTGGATGAACATTCTCTATGGTTCTGGATATATAATTACCCTTCTGAAAATATTCAGCATATTCCCATTCCCTTTAATTTGAAGTCCAATACTCCAGCCTATTCTTAACATTCCATTATCAATTCACAGATTTTTGACATACCCCATTCTACAAAGGACATATAGAAGCTTACAGGAAACATAATATATAAGAAAACAATAAAAGCATAAACAAAATAATGACTATCAAGACCAAGAACAGCATAAGTTATAACGGATAAAAACTAGGGTTAGAGACAAAGAGAATATAATATCCTTTAGAGTTGTCTATTATTGAACCATAAAATTGGCCCTGAGCTTTTGAGATACTAAAATGAGAAGAGAAATACTTATAATACTTGCAATACCCATATAATATCCATATAATACTTATAATACCTATCACCAACGAATAGAACAAGAACTTTCCCCCTACATTTATCTCTCTCATGGCCCCTTTAAGATGCATGTAAGTAAGAGGAATAAGAGCCCCAACACATTGAGAGCAAATGCAATGCTGGTCACATAAGACTACACATAAAAATCCACCCCTACTGAAAGCGAGGGACTGACTACGTCCAACACACACAGTTCTGGAGCATTTGCGTTTATTGGAATGATTAAGCTTTGTTCAGTGAGACCCTGAAAAGGTGGGGCTATAATTAATATTCTTCTCAGAATGCCTCAGAGTGCTAACCTGTCCAGGGTTGCTTCTCAACTCTCTAAAATATTTGATTCACATTTTTGTTTGATGAGAGCTAGGTAACATTACACTGGGAACTGTGTTCTTCCTGCATCTGTTGGACACTCACCCTGTTACATGGAGCTTGGGAGTCCTGCATGAACGTGCCTGTTCTAGAGCCTGGTTCAGACGAGGATTTTGTACTCACCCCTAAGTCCCGTGTTCCCCATTTACTATTTTAAAGGAATCTTGCCATGCTACATTTTTGGGGTCAAATATAGTTTCCATAATTGTTAATGATTGTATTTTTCCAGGCACTAAGAAACATTTCTTAAGCTGGGGTGATGGTGCTGTGGTGTGTGCTTTTCCTACTCCACTCCATGGAATTGCGCCACGTCAGCTGCAGTGTTTACTAGAGATTTCTCCCAGGACTTCACACATTATGAAATCACACCTTAACCTGTTGCCCTTCATTTTTTTTGTGAGTGTGTGTTTGTGCCATGACATGCTCACATGGAGGTCCCTGAGCCTTGCTTTATGTCCCCTGCTAAGCACACTAGGCTAGCTGGACCATGGGCTTCTGAGGATTAGTCTGTCTACCTCCATCTCACTCTGGGAGCACTGGGGTTACAGGTGCGGATTACACTGTGCAGCCTTACATGGGATCTGGGCATCCCAGCTCAGTGCCTCTCGCTTGTGCCATGCGGTCTTTGCCTGCTGAGCCCACTCTCACTGAACTCACTTTGGAGGCACTGAAAGCAGTGTATGAAGAGACAGGCACCATCTTTCTTCTCTGTCTTATATGAGATGATTAAGAATTGGTCAGGTAAGCGAACTGTAACATCCAGATCCAAAAAGAGCTTTGGAGAGGTAGACTTTAATGATCACAGTGAGATTTTAGTCTAATACCAGGGATGAGCAATATTCGAGGTGCTTGTGACCTGTGAGTATGCACATACATGCACTGCAGATCAAACGGCATGATTCATAAAAACAACTCACAATTGGGAGTCCATCCAAGGCCTTCAGTTCTGGAAGATGAAATATTACGAACAACCGGTAGTTTTCTTGGTTCCATATAATAATGTTTCCGTACATGTCTAGGATGACCAAGTTGCATAAACCCTAGATAATAAGGATATATTCAGTCTATGTATACATGCAAATCACACTCCAGCAAGTCATTTTTCCAGGGATTATAGAATGCTGAATTTTAATATTTGAATTATCTATAATTTCATAAAATTTCAGTGCTTTTAATTATACTGGTTCCCAACAGAGATATAAAAAGTATATATCCGGTAGAAGAACTTCTTTAACAAGTAGTGCTGGGAAAACGCGACACCCATGTGTGAAACATCAAAATCGATCCCCGTTTCTCACTCTATAAAAGCATCAACCCAAGAGCAAGAGAAAAGGATCAGTGGCTAAGAGCACTTGTTCTTGCTGTGGACCCAGGTTCAATTCTCAGCACCCACATAGTGGCTCACAAATATCTGTAATTCCAGTTCCAGGGCATGCGATGCCCTCTTCTGGAGATAGGCACCAGGCATGCAGATAGTGCACATACATCCAGGTAGGCAGATCACTCACACATGAACATTTAAAAAAAAAATCTAAAACCCCAAACAAAACAACATCAACTCAAAATGGATCAGACATCTTAGTGTAATACCAGAGGTAAAGTTAGAAAACTTAGACAATGTGAGAGGTGAAGGTGACGGGAGTATCTACGGATGTCAGAAGCAGCAATGACTTTCTAAGAACATGCTAGTGGCCAGGAACTCAGCAAGGGCTGACAGTACGTGACAGTCAGGACTGCATACACTAAGAAGACTTCTCAGAAAAGAAACATTCACCAGAGTGAAGGGAAAGACTGAAGAATGGGAGAGACTCTGAGTTAATGACTAAAATATATAAAAATGCCAAAACATTAAAAATCCAAAGGGCAAATAATCCAATCGATAAACTGGCACATAAACTGAACGGGAACACACAAATCGACAACAAAAGTAGGCACACGAACTAAGCAGAAAAATGCAAACCAAAACTACATGACAAACTGTCTTATCCCTGGTCAAAAATACTGCCAGCAAGAAAACAAACACAAAAACCATTGACAGTGATGCAAGGAGATCGACAGTGATGTAAATTTTCTAGTCACCATGGAAACTAGTGTAGGGGTCCTTATAATTAAAAGTAGATCTAGACACTGCTCCTCAGTGGATGACCCCAAGCCAAAGTCAGCTGATTATGCAGACACCTGAACATCCATGCTTGTTGCAGCAGGAGTCAGGGCAGCTAAGTTACAGAATTAGCTCCTGTTCCCGTCAATGGATGAACTGATAAAAAAAAAGGTGGTGTGTGAGTATTATGTAGTATTTAGCCATAAAGAAGAACAAATGCATGCCAATTGCAGAACTGCGGATGACTGTGTTCAGGGGAAATAAGATAGCCTCAGAAAGACAAGTACTGTGTGCTTTTGCTCATATGCGGAGTTAGTGGGGAATGTAGAAGGGGAAGGAGTATTAGGGGTGGGGAGAGGAAAAGGAGGAGGGCAAAAGGGAAGGAGGCGTAATAAAAGGGGACGAATATGATCAAGGCAAACTGTAGGTGCCATGACAATGTCATAATGAAGCAAAGTCTTTTGCACAATTAAAATATGTTGGCAAAAAGTTACCCCATAAATCTACCAGGTTGCTGTCATACTGGTGACCTTTGTGTATTTACATTAAATGAATGCAAATGTATTTCAATAAACCTTGATATTTGAGCTTTCTTCTTCCTAGCCTGCTCAGTAAGCATAGCATGCACAAACAGCACAGGCTTATAGAGGTGGAGGCTTGTTAGCCCAGGCGGTCACCTTTAGGTTGTAGATCTCCTGGTTCACAGCTATGTAGTTGTTGCTTATGTACAGCTCTATCAGGGTGAACGTCTTTTGTAAAGCACTCAGAGATGTGATCCTGTTGTTCTCGAGAGAAAGCGAGTGGAGATGCAGCATGTTGTCGAAAGTGTGCTTTTCCAAGCCGGTGAGCAGGTTGTTGTTCATGCTGAGGCGGCTTAGTTTGGTCAGCCTGGCGATGCCTAGAACATCAGCAAAGTCAAGGAGCGGTTCAGACAGCAGGTTAGTGCCACACACAACAAGCTAGCCACTGCATCGGGGCTTCTGCTCGTGAATTTAAGCAACTTTAAGGAACATGGCAATAAACCATTCCATCATTTCTTCCTCTGTGTTCCAGAAGGACACAGCTGCATGCAGAAAGTCCCATCCACGCATCAAATTCTGATTCTGAATTTCTAAGTAGATTTGTTTTTCTTAGGTGCTAAAGAAAGGCATTTTGTAGGCAACAATTTCTCCTTCAAAAATAAAGATAAAATAGTTGCCAGCTCTCATATTAGAACACCAAAGACTAGAAACCAGAGCAAGAGACTCTGGAAATTATGGAATTGGCTGTATCAATGAAAATCATTTGACCCAGTTCTCATATTCCATGTTTAAATTAGTTTTAGAATGAAACTTAGAAGCTGGCGGCTCCCAGCAGACTCTAACTGTAATGTTTACCCTGTACTGCAGGCAGTGGAGAAAGATGAAGGCAGGAGGGAGCTGTGGAAAGTAGGACCCCCACCCCCCTTTTTTTTTGTTTGTCTTTGTTTTTTTCCAAAGACAAGGTTTCAATATGTGGTTCAGCCTGGCCTCAAATTCGCAGTTTATAGTTCTGCGGACTCAGATACCTGAGTGCTGGGATTACTGGCATGTATCACCACACACCGGGCACATAGAGAAGAACTCTGGAGTCATAGTGGGCTTCAACTGCATCACACAGGGCTATAGGTAAATGGACATAAGCACGCCTCCATTTCCCATCCATACAAAGGGCACATCAAACCTACTCCTAAGGAGCTATGGAATTAAATAGAATGGTTTTTAGGAAGGGAGACTAGAGACGGTTTTTAGCAGGTCACAGAAGATTTCTTTCAATTTCTTGCCACTAAAGGTCTCAAGTGAGGGTCAGGAGAGAAGCCGAGACAGTCACAGAGTACTGAATTTAGTATATTTCAGAACATGTCATCTAAATGCCGGGCTTTTTAGCCACAGACAAGCACAGACTAAAGTGATCTGAAGAATCTAGGATACTCTGTTGGGGAGGGGAATTTTGTTTTACTCTCTGGTATAAGATAAATGTTTTTATATTAAACTTATTTCATTATGACCGAGGCCTTGTTAAAGCAGAGTGATTGTAAGTGAAGTCAAATGTGTACAGATTTTCCATCATTAATTTCCAGGAAGTATAATTTTCACTTTTGCTCACATTTACATTTCTAAATATAACCTTAATTCCTTATCTTACAAGGGTTGATCTTCTCCAAGGTAAGCCCCACCCATGCATTCCTTCAGTGCTATGGATGTGATTGGCCACCTTGCATCTACTCACTTGTTCTGCTAATAGATGGTAGTCTCCTGCACTAGGAGAGGAAAGAGGCCTAGGGATGATAGTCCCGGGGCTCCTCATGCTGAGAAGTTCATCAGCAGTACTGTTAGGAGATACTCAGAAGACCCTGGCGCAGGCCTTCCTGAAGTCTCTCTAGATATCTTCCCCTTTGGAGATTCTGGCCTTAGCGTTACTGAGTCACTGAGACTTGGTGATTCTTACCAAGCCTCCACCTCACCTTCTATTTTTGAGATGCAGTTGCCGTCTAACGTGAGCTCCTCCAGGTTGACACAGGACTCCAAGCCTTCCATTTTGGAGAGATTGTTATTGCTGAATGATGCCCATTTCAAATTCTCCAATTTTTCTAGATTTGTGATTTCAAAGAGATGTTGTCCATCTAAATTTAAGGCTGTTATCTATACAATAATTCATATTACATGTTACTTCTGAATCTTGCAAACAAGTTCAAAATTATTAGATTAAAAATGCTAACAAAACAGCCCACATGTGACACGGAAATGCTAGAATTCATTTAGGAACTGGAAACTCTTAGTTTTCAAGAAAGTTGAAGCTTGAAAAGATTCTAATAGGGATGTTCATTGTGTTAAGGACACAGTGATGTGGCAGTTGGGTTCCACTGCAGTTACTGGGACATTGGTCCCCCTTTGGGGACAGTCTTAGCTGCAGAGCCACTTTGCCTCAGGGCAAACTCCTTTCCAGCTTGGTCCAGTTTTAGTGGTAGATATAACAACCTGGCTACCTTAGCCTTACTTGGTCCATTGATAGTGGTAGATACAACAACCTGGTCATCTCAGCTCACTTGGAACACACTTCAAGCGTCATTCTGATTCAAGAACTTGGCATCACCGAGACTGTCACTGAATCTGCACTGCAGCCCAGTATCAACCCACATTACATGATAAAGATGTCATCAACATTCCCCACTTTCAAGAGTCTGATAAACTTCATTGCTGCCCTTCATGGCTGGACTAGAAAGGGCTCTGATATGGTCAGGTGGCCTTATGAAGCAAGAAGTTGTTGGGGCTGTGACTTGTTCCTGGCTGAGGTCTGGATAACTCCCAATTCTCTTGCCAAAATTCCTGCTCCCTTGTCATTAAAATGTTGGCTTGATCTCTGTCTCTGAGCATTAAGTTGGCTAAAGCTGAGTATAAAAATCTACTCTTCAGTTTATAACCAACCTTTATCCTAAACCTCCAATTCCGTGATAACCACAGTTGAAGACGAGCTCCCTGTAACATGTATCTAGACTTGGCCCTAACATTTCATGTTTTATACATGAAATACATTCATACATGCAGTACATTTATTATCTTAAAAATGATAAATTGCCTTATATGTTTTCCTAACTTTATTAAAGCATACTTAACCATTAAAATGATAAATACTTAAGGTATGTTATGATAAATATTTAAGGTATGTTATTTCATATGATAGCCATGTGTTATATGTTAAAGACTGTGGTTTCAATTAGATTGGAATCTAAATAGCCAAACTCATAGAGGCAGAGAGAAGACTAGTGGTTTCTGGGGATGAAGATGGGAGGCTGTGGGAAAAAAGTGTAAGGGCACAAAGTTGTAACTTTTCAAGAAAAATGAGTTCTGAGGGTCTAAATTATCATATCACGACTACATTGTAAACACAGTGCATTGTACACTTGACATTTGCAAACAAGGTCCATCTGAAGTCTTTGCTCCCATTTTACTTTATTCCTTAAATTTTTGTTCCTAGTCTGTTTGTGCCGATGTTGAATACATAGACCAGCTTAAATAAGATGATATAGGGTTTAGTAGAATAAGCCATTACCTTCAAGTGCCAGTTCCCAGTCAGATGGAAATGTGGTCCTAACTTTGAAATTTGTGTCAGAATTTTGGCAGAAGGCCAGATACTAAGCATCCGAGGTCTTTCCTCTTCGGAACTGGAATGCTGTAAGAGAGTTAGCTAATAAAACAGAAAATATGGTGAATGACGTAAGAGCACACTCGTGTGCATTTACAGACAGCTAAGAAGTTGTTTCCCAGGGAAGATGAAGAACCCAATGAACGACTTTAAAATGTTTCCTGTCCCTTAAAACACCTTCCAAATCCAGATCAAGTTTGAACTTCCAGTTTTTGCTTTGCAAACGTCTTGAGGCATTGTAAGATAACAGGCACCTCCAAGACCGCTTGTACTCCTCAGTCCATCTCATGACCTCTTGAGGCTGACTTGTGGTCTAGAACAGTACCACCATCATGCAAGTTCCATCCCAAGCCCCTTCCCGGCCACTTTTTAGAAAGGATCCCCACTACGAGGGAGGGGGACTTGATTGGGGGAGGGGGAGGGAAAGGGGAGGCAGCGGTGGGGAAGAGACAGAAATCTTTAAGAAAGAAAGAAAGGAAGGAAGGAAGGAAGGAAGGAAGGAAGGAAGGAAGGAAGGAAGGAAGAAAGTAAGAAAGAAAGAAAGAAAGAAAGAAAGAAAGAAAGAAAGGATCCCCACTGCAACATTTCTGTCTACCACTCACTCGCTTTCTTCTCTCTGGTCCTGTTTGTCCATACATAGCGCATTATTAAGCCTTACATCGTTCAAACCACCAGAAACCAACAGTGTGTATTCTGCTGCATTGCTCTTTTTCAGCACATGAGAGTCATCTCTGTTTCACCATTTAGCTGGAGTTCAATTGCAGTTAGTAGCCTGCAAGTCCCCCTCTTTGTGACTCCTTCTCTCTTCCTTCCTCAGTCTCTTTTCCAGACAAGGTCTCCTGTAGTCCAGCATGTTCTTGAACTTTCTAAGATGACCTTGAACTTCTGATTCACCTGCCTCCACCTCCCAATTGCTGGAGACACAGATGTGCACACCACGCCCGGTTTATGCGGGTGCTGAGGATTGAACCCAAGGCTTCTTGCATGTTAGGCAAGCACTTGAGTGTTAACTGAGTTACACCTCTAGCTTTGTATAGCACTCTCTTACTGGCTCTGCTGACCATGAACATTGATGTTTCGCCTCAAGCTTTTGTTACTGAGAACACTGCCAGGGTGGTGACCCTTGTGCCCTTGTGCATTGGCTCCTGTACATACACAAGGGTTTCTTCAGAGAATATGATCCCAAGCAAAACTGCTGGGGTCAGGAAGTATGTGTGTGTGTGTGTGTGTGTGTGTGTGTGTGAGAGAGAGAGAGAGAGAGAGAGAGAGAGAGAGAGAGAGAGAGGGAGAGAGAGAGAGAGAGAAAGGCAGGAAGTGAAGAGAGAGATGGGGAGTCAAACAATTTGTCCAAAGTGATTGCAATAATTATAATTGCTACTTCATATTCTAGCTGAAACTTAAAATTTTCATCCAATCTGAAAGATTAAGGATAATTGACAGATTTTTGTTATTTGAACCTTCATTTTTGAATAATGATATGGTAAAGCATCTTTTTCTAAATTAATTGACTGTTCTGATACTTTATCCAGAAAAAAAAATGCTTTTTCAAACCCCCTCCTTTCTCCCCCGCCCCATCAATTGATTGTCTTTTTCTGTATGTGTTCTGGATATTGATAGAGGCTGTATTTTGGTACTTGTGCTGAAATCTCCTTCCCTGGCATCTTACCTGTCTGTTTTTCTTTCCTTCTAGCATCCTTTAAGAAAAGTTTGTGCCAGTTTTATTGAGAACAAACCCCATCTTTCATGGTTATGCCTGTTTCTTTCTTCCTTATGAATAACTTCTTAATCCATGATCACAAGAATAAATCACTAGTATATTTTCTTCTAAAACATTCCTGGTTTTGCCTTTTGCAGCGAAGTTGTAAAGCATTTATGCCCTAGCACTTTCTACTGAGTAGATGCTTTGGTCTGCAAAGGTGGGTGGGTCTATTGTCTGTCAAATCCTCCCAGAGGTCTGAGTTTCTACTGGTTCTTTGTTTCGACTTGTTGGTCTATCTTCTAATTCTGTGCCAATATCACATCTTAAAAATTTTAGTAGTCTTTGATTTCTATTGGGGAAAATCTTTAAGTCTTTCTCAATGCATTAATCATAATCTTATCAACAAACGTTTTCTTTGCTTCATTTGAGTAGATCCCAAACTAAATGTTGCGTTGTTTAAGGAATTCACATCAAGTTTCCCACAAAAAGTAGGTGAAAGAGATAGAGCATTTTTGGGGTGGTGGGGGATCAAGCCTAGGGTCTACCCCAAGCTGAGGAAATGTTCTGTCGCTAATCTACATCCCCAACACTTAGAGGACAGGATTCTTTATCTGTAAAATGTAGGCATTTCTTTCCCTACAGGCTAACAGGTTATGTTTTTGTCAGCTAGTTACACGCAATACTGATACTAAGTAGATACTGCGCTAACTGCTTTCCCAAAGCCTCCTAAGCTTACTGAGCACGCACATACTGTTTATTCTCATGCAGGCTCTAGAAAGTTCATGAGACCAGAAAATAGTTGTCCTGGAGATATTGGGGGAGGGGAGTGGCATCTGGGGCTGTTCCAAGGTGATTCAGAAAGCCTGCTGGCATTCATATGGGGACTATGATGGGGTACATTGAGGTAGAAACATGGTCAAGTGGTAAGATCACTGTATGTTGATTTTTTTATTGATATGTTAGGAGAAAATGTCAAGCTTAATGAAAGAAAATAAATCCCCAAAGTATTATTTGTATGTTGCACCTAACACAAAGAATAGTAACCTACTGACTCCAACCTGAGTAATCTTTGTTCCATTAATGAACTTCAGCGCTTCTCTGGTTTCTTCTTCAGAGATGAGGATTCCGTCTAAGTGTGTAAGTGTCTTTAGTCTGCCAATAACACTCAGCCTCAATGTGGCTGGCTTGGGAAAAAAATATCAAGAAGTTAATTTGCATAAAATATCACAGGTATTATGGCATGGGAAAATAGCCTTCTTTTCCATATAATTGAAATCTGTACATCTCTCTTCTTACTGCATACTTATAAAACTTTGGACAATTTAATTCTTTAAATAATAGTTGGAGATAAATTCTGTAAGCATAAACCTGTCTGCCTTTCAGGGTGTGGGTCTCCTGTTCTGGGAGGGAGGTCCCAGGAGCTGTTGGAAAGGGGCTTGGTGGAAAGGATGATGGATGGAAACCGTGTGGCAATTCCTGATTATTGAGTAGACACTTGGCCAGTGAGTTCCGTGCTGGACTCAGTGTGGATCTCCTGCCTTTGATGGCCAACTTGACTATGGGGAGACAGTGACCATTCAGATGTCTGCTTTAGCCAAAGAAAAACATTGTTCAGTTTTACTTAGCTTAAAAAAAGAATTTCAATGATATAAATTTAGTAATGTAGTTAATTTAATGGAAATGATCATTTTGCTAGTATGTTTTAAACAATAAACATAGCCTTGCAAATGCCATTTAGTTATTTATTCTTGAGATGGTGGTCTCACTACTGAACGTAGGCTGGCCTTGAACTCACAATCCTCCTGCTTCTGCCTCTCAACTGCAGTGTTTGGCTTTCTATATATTTTAGAAGCAATGAAGATCTTTAAAATTATAAATTTGGGCTCACTTAAAATACTTGGAGATAACCTTAAATGTATAATATGAATAATAATAATGTTCAAATTTCCTTTCTATGATAGAGAATGATTTTATGGTTCAGGTTTATCAGGGGATATGATTGCTATATTTTTAAAGAGAATAAATAATGGAAATAGCAAACTAAACTTATATGTTTATTGTCCAGAGTTTAGGGCCCATTGTAAAATGCTGCTCCTTTCTTAACAGTATGCTTCCCTCACCATGTCAGATCATCCTTGGCTCCTGTGTGTCATACAAAAGCATTCTAACACACTGACATAGGAGTCCTCCAGGAGTTTGCAAATGGCTATGACATCAATCACTCTTAGAGCGATAAAGCAATAAAGCGTTCAAACCGTCCCAGGTTCCAAGAGATCTGTCATGACATCACTTTGAATTCATTAGGTGATCACCCTATGCTTACTTATGAAGGACTTTAAAGCACAAGAAACCGGGGTGCCTTGCCTATTTTTGGCTCCTGTTGAGTAGCAAGGCAAGGAGAATGGATCCGAACGAGAGCATCTGCTTTTCTAACGGTGCCTGTCACATACCTTCTGCCAGGGGTTGTGCTGGATGTCAAGGGTGAGGAGGCTCGTGGTGTGTTTGCACAGCACGTTGATCTCATCGCACGTCTTCTTTAGCTGGTTCCAGCTCAGGTCTAAATGCTTCAGTTTCATCAGGCCTCGGAAGCCCTCCAGAGTTATCACGTGGTTGTGGCTGACGTCCAAATACTCAAGGTTATACTGCGGCACATAGAAATAGAAGTGTGTATTTACCAAGTGCTTTTCTCTGCTTCTTCAAACACATCATATGTTTTCTTACAGTGCTCACAGAAGACCTCCACAGGAGTCACACTGCCATGGGATAACAACAGTAAGTCTTTCTCAGTTCAGACTTTACTCTTAAATGTGAAGGACCTCAGGGCACATTATAAATGCAGAGGAAGACAAATTGTAGGCAAGTTATTCAGTTAGATTATGGCTTTGACAATGGTGGGTTACCATCAAACATACACACAAAGCCAATACTCCTAAGAGACTACAGCATAGATTTCCCATCTCTCTGAACACAGAGCCACAGGGTCTTTTTTGCACAGGAGGGAGGTGGCAGTGACTTGCAAGACAACTTGTTACCCATAAAAAATATGTCTTTACACTCAGACTTCTGGTTATACTTTTGAAATGACTTCCCTCACAGAGTATATCCTTAGAGACAGAAATTTAATTTTATTCTATCATTTTCTGCTTTTGGGGTGCATTGTTTTCTAAAGCTGGGCCTCATGGAATAGGCCCGTGATCCCTGCTGCTCAAGACGGCAAAGCAGGAAGATGAGAAGTTCAAGGTCTGATTGCTCTACAGAAAGAATTCAAGGCTAACATGGGAACTTGCTGAAAACCTGTCTGGAATAAAAAGTAAAATGATGGGTTAGTGGTAGAGTATTTATGTAGTGTGTACAAGGCCCTAATCAATCCTCACAACGATATTAAGAAAATTAGACAGTTACAAATGATTGTCCAATAATAAAATTAACACATTATTTATTGAAAATTTGAAAAAATAAAAAATCAATAAAAGGAAGAAAACTGGAAAACAAAAGTCTATTGCTAGAAAAAACTGAAAGTTGTTTTTGCTAGCTTCAAACATATACTTTCCTATCTTTTTGTATGCTTTTAGAATTTTCACATTTAATTACGTATTATCCAAAATTATTTTTCATAACTGCATACCTAGTGTGTCGACAGTTCTAATAATCCTAAACTTTACACTAAGATGTAACTTAGTTGCTAGCAACAGCGCAAAAGACAGCAGCAAGGACGACACTAATTGCTACGCCGCACGTTCTTAGAACCGGAGTTTCTCCAGGTAAACAATGGGGAATGATACAGAAATCTTTGAAAGGGACCCAGAAGGTATAATGGCAAGATGAGATTTCACATGGGATGATAACATGTTTCCTGCTGTTCCAGACTGTGCACTGCCTCTGAAACAACGGTAAGCCATTAGAAATAACTGGCTGCCAACAATAAAGCACACTTTCCCTAAAACAGAAAAGCCAAACTATTGTGCAAGTGCACAAAGCAAGGCACACTTGGTTGACAGCATGACCAGGGAACAGTGCAGGGAGGCCACGGAGGGGTGGATCCAGGCAGGGGTACAAGATGGAGGGGCTTTGGCCTTAGGTAGCTAGTCCCCTCTCTTTCTGTGCAGGCTGCTTACAAGCAAGCTCTCCTTTGAGAGTGTTCCCAGTCACACCTTTGCATGGTTTATTTGAATGCATCTTCATTTTGTTTTATAGTCAATAATGAAATAAATAATAAGGCTATCTAATTAACACAGCGACCACCTGTGCTGTACATTAGCTCCCAGAACGTGTTTGTCTCCTTTGACCTACATTTCCTCTCCCCCTCGGTCCCTCTTCCTGCTCCTAGGCATTTGATTTTTGTGTTTACATTCCAAAAGGGCAGCTCTTACCAAATGATACACATCATCTAAGCAGGTGAATTCGTTAAAGCTAATGTTCAGCTTTCGAAGTCCGGTTAACTTGGAAAGATCTCTCAGTTTACTCAAGCTGTTCCCGTGCAGATTCAGATTCTGAAGCAAAATAAAATGTAAATTAAAAAATAAAATACATTACTTTCTGAGACATAATCTAGGTGTTAGTATCTAATATATTTAGAATAGCTATCATTGCTTCTTGGTCTTTTGGCTAAGAGCAAGTGCAGAATAATTAAATCATCTACAATAATGCAAAATGGCATTACAGCTGTTTTGAATAACACCCAGAGGATGCTAATATAGTGAGGGAATTTGCTGTGTGATGCTGAAAGCTAAAAATAGCTTATAACACCATCAATGGGCCTGACAGGTGACCAACATGACTTACTACTTGGTCTAAGTTTGTTAACAATTAGCAAAAATTCTTTTTCATGGATAAATATTTTGATCACTGTATTTATTAGGGAGGATCGGCTTATCAGGTAGCATTGTGCAGTGGAGGCTCTCCTGACTGGGGACATCAGGCAGAAAACCTCACAGGAAAGAGATGGCAACGGAGCCATTGGACCAAAAAAAGAAAATCTGAGAGTCTTGAAACAGGACAGAATGTCAAAGGAGATGAGAGGCCATCTAAGATCAGAAGATGGCCCAGACGTTCCCTGCACATCTCCTCCTCAGATAAACAAAATGAATGTTATTGCAGGTTTTTCTTTAGAAGTGTTATAATGATACATGCTTCTCTGTCTTCAAAACCCAGTTATGGATGGTACCAAGTGAAGAGGTATTTGTGGGTAGACTACGAAGTAAAAAAAAATGGCACAAGAAAATGAATGGAACAACTAAGTGACCCCAGCAGTCACAGTGGCATTGTGGGATAAATTCGGGTGTGTACTGTCAGCCATGGTCATGCATTGTAATCATCTGTGCGCAGAGACAACTGAGTTCCTCTCGGGGAGAAACAACTCAGTTTCTCAGAGTATTCTAAATTGGGTAAATTGGGGAGAAAGCCTAGGTTGTGCAGACAATTCTGGAAATCCACGATAATGCATACAGATGCCCGTCACATTTGTATATCCCAAATGGAATCATCTTCTCTGTAAGGCCTACTTGGCTTAAGAGTTTCACTATGGATTGATTACCCTTTCCTTCTTTTCCATATATATTTGACTATAGAAATATTTCTCAAGCAGCTGTCCATTCCTTTACCCAGACTAGTGCCTCCTACTAACTGACTCCTCCTTGGACCATGGCTACAGTTCCTACTGGATCTTCACACCACATGCCTAACTGTGCCCTTAAGATCACCCCTAAGACACCAAAGTTAGGATCTTTAGAAGTGAGATTCTGTTCCTTGAATTATAAAAACATTTGAATTTGACTTTCAAAAGCCATTCTACAATGTGGCTCTAACCTCTTGGAGGTTTCTTGCCTTGGCTTCATGAATCTTCCTTGAATTCCAACACACACACACACACACACACATCTTCCCCTCTCACAACCCTGTATCTGAGTTAGACTGAAGTTCTCAGTGTTCCTGAAAAATACTAGCATCTTTCAAAACCACGTTCCCGCTCTCCGTCTGACAGCTATAAACAAGAAGATTTCTCATGACCTTAGGAAGGCCATGTCAAACTCGTCTTTATAAAGCTCGTGCAGGATTCCCGCCTTCCTACACTGTTTATATATCTATTCACAAAATGAAACTAATGTTGTTCAGTTGGGGAGAGCCATTTATTTATTTTCATTACTGTCCAGGTAAGGTTTTGTCAACTTAACACAAGCTAGTGCTCTCTGGAGGGAGGAACCTCGGATAAGAAAATGCCTCCAACACAGGCCTATAGGCAAATCTATGATGTATTTTCTTGATGAATTATTGGTGTGGGTGGGTTTCCCTTCCAGGCTAGGGGAGGCTGCCCTGGGTTATTGGTTCTGGGTAATCTAGGAGAGCAGGCTAAGCAAGCCATGGAGAGCAAGCCTGTAAGCAGCACACCTCCACGGCTTCTGCATCAGCTCCTGCCTCCAGGTTCCTGCTGTGACTTCCTTCATGATGGACAGTAAAGCCCTAAGCGGAAATAAATCCCTTCCTCCTCAAGCTGCTTTTGGTCTGGGCATTTGTCAAAACAACAGAAATCTGGCTAGATCAAGTAACTAACAGTTAATCCGCCGCTTTAGATGTAACTAATTCTGAACAAATTACAGGTGAAGAAATGAACCTAAGAGTCAGGCTTACAGCTGACAACTCTAATCTTAGCTCTTGGATGTCCATAAGAGAATATAAAATCCAGTGTCATAAGATATGATATAAGGGTATATTTTTATTTTATTTTTGTAAATTTTCTTTTGTTTTTGATGTCATAATGACAGTAGTCCTTTAAAGGAAGAAATGCTCTCTGAATTTCTTTTATCGTATTGCCACATGCACAGAAAGTGCAGGAAAGACAGATGTCTAGGCTCCCTCACTGTTATAGTGAGGCTTGCTAGAGGCCCTAGAAACGACAGGCTCATGCAGTGCAAAAGTCTAGCCATGTTTATTCTAAGTGTCAATCAAATTTTGCTGACTCGTATGTAAACCCAAAGCTTTCCTATACCCATTGATTAATACTAGACACTGATTAGAAACTTTTTGCTTTTACCTAAATCATTCAAAGCGAGATTGTTGGTCATTCAGAATAAAATTACTTGCCACCTGGAAAGTTACTTCAAGTGGCTACTGAACACCCAATAGATAGCTGGACTTAATTAAGACATGAAATTGGTAGAAAATACACTCCAAAATTAAGAATTAATAATAATGTCTCCTTAATGAATTTTAATAATGATTGCATGTTGAAATATTTTGTATATTTGGGTTAAACAAAATGTATCATTAAAACGAGTTTTGCCTTAACAAAGCTGTGGCAAAGCATTGGAAAACTTAAAATGACCCTCGGTGACTGCTGGAGAATACTAGTCTAGTCTACACACTGGAAGGGGGCTGGGCACTTTTCAATCAAGTTATGTGATTCCTGGCAACATCACAGAGTAACTTAGTAAATTTAGACTCCACATACTAGATTCAAACTTCAAATTCAAGTTTCCTTTTTCCATTTTTTTTCTCACAGTACTCACCACAATATGGCTGTAATTGTCAGTCTTAGCAAGGGAAATTATTGTCTTATCATCCAAAGTAATGAGTTTTGGGCGGGGTTTAATCCTGGGCTCCATCTTCATAACCTCTTCATCAAATTTCAACTCCTGCGAGAATACTAATCCTTCAGAATATTTTTTGCCTTCTTCTATAATAACAGTGTTTAATGTAGAAGATAAAGAGTGAACTTTGACCTAAAAAATATTTCAAATGTTGAAAATTCAGTTGCTGTACAGGAAAGAATTGACTTTTGCAGGTATGCTATAATATCCAGGATAATAAAAATCACTCTGATAAATATATAAGCATACAACAAGACTATGAGATAAGCATGGGTGTGTCCATTCTCACCCATAAAGATTTCTTAAAACTGGAAAAGGATAAATATAAAGTAATTTATGACATAGAACACAAACATGGGTCTAGACATGATCAGACATGAAGCAGAAGGGATGGACATGGCAGGGAAGAGCAGAAATGTAACTTCTAAGCAGAAACATATGCAGTGATAATATTTAAGAAATGTAATGTTTGAAATAAATAAATCAATAAAACAGGAAGCCACTCCCTATAGTTATTGGGTAAGCAATTATTGCAAGAACTGTGAGTGAATAAGTAAGAGCTATGCAAACAAATGGACCTGACTCTAGAAGAAAGCAAAATAATTAAACATAGTATATTTTTTAAACTTAGCAGAATTGGAATCTATCATAAAATAATAAGACACTATAGAAAATAATAGCATAAATACTTTAATAAATATGTAAGTAACTACTAAAATAAAAATACTTAATAAATATTAGAAAGCCAAATGACTATAACAGCAGATTAATTGTCAGCCTGGAAGTCTGTACTGAGAAAAAATTCCAGAGCAAGTCATCATGTTTCTAGACATGTCATCGGTGTCAATAGAAAAGGATTGAAAATAAACTCACAGAACCATTAGGTGGATGCATTGGTAAAAGAAGGAGTGGGAGGTTAAGGAGGAGGTTTCTCATTTTTATTCTACAGGCATCTTTCCCAGTGATGCTATAACTGTACAATACTCCTATAATACGCTCACACAATAAAAGTATTCAGGCATCATAATAACACGCTTTGAAAATTCATTCCTTCACAGAACAGTCATTGTACACACAGACAGACAGACAGACAGACAGACACACACACACACACACACAAGCATGAATAGGCATATATAATACAAGCTCAGCATAACATTACTGGATTCAACCCCCAGCTAAGGAATCTCTGTTTTTAAAAAATGTGCAATGCATACCACTGTGATATACTCAAAATCAACGATGTACTCTGGCAAAACAAGGTCATGGTCAAAGACAAACCACTTGAACTGCCGGTAGATGCAATTGCAATGTCTTTGTCCTATGATAGAATCTAGAGGGATTAAAAAAAAGCAAGACAAACGTTCAGAATACAGCAAACCTTTTTACTCCAGTACAGATGAAGAAGTAACAGCAAAACCTTACTGCTAGTTTCCCGCAGCTATAAAACTGAGGGTGTTACAGGAATCCTCCTGTGCCCAACACGAAGGTCAGAGTGATGATAGTCTTTACCCACAGCTGGTGCTCATGCTTAGCATCCTGCCAGTGAATAAATGACCATGGAGGTTCGATAAATGTAGCACTCAGAGACCTTTATTAAAGGTTCCTTTTTATCATTTGAAAACTAATACCTACATACATTTGTATGTATACTTGCACACACTCACACATAAAAACCTCCATCTGCATGGCTTCTGCAATCATGGGTTCAAAAACTGCAGAGCAGAACTTTTATTTATTTTTTTAAAGAACAATGTCTGTAGTAAACATGTAGGAATTTTTTTTCTTGTCTTTTATTCCTGGAATGATAAATACATCCATGATTTGCAGCATTTCATTTATACTGTATTAGGTATTAAAGCAATATTGAGATGGTGTAATATATCCAGGAAGACTGTGTAGGTGACATATACATACTATGCTATTTGGTATGGGTTTGATAATCCATGAAGTTTGATATCTATAGGTAGTGTGTGTCTGTGTGCATACTCTAGAACTAATTCTCTAGATACTGAAAGTTGAGTGTGTGGGTGTATATATACATACATACATACATACATACATACATACATATAACCCTCCCACAAATAATAATGAAAATTGGTGAAATAATCACACACACACACATCCTATTGATGTGAGTAACAGAAAAACCACTAGTATTCAGAAGTAGGTTTTCATAGAAAAGTTTATAGGTCTTGTTAGGTGGCTAATATAGACCATTAGCTCTGTTATAAACTGATGTGTTAAATAGACATGCTTGTACTGAGAAGAATGAAACCACACATTTTTCTTTTTGGCAGACATACTTAGCAAATGTTTCTGAGGCATGAACACCGAGTTAACCATGGGATAGTTGGCTTTACTGATGGGCTCCTGTTCACGAGCCTGAACGCTCTGGCCGAGAAAAACCTTCGCAATGAGGATGGTGCCTAAATATGAAAACATAGACATAATTTAACAAATATGACCTTAACAAATCTCCAATGTAATCTTTGTTGAGCTCAAGCATGATTTAGCATTCTGTAAAGGCAGAGGCCATGACGATCTTGCTTGCTACTATATAGTACATAGCACACAACTTGATTCAGCTAGGAGCTAGGACGTATCTGTTAAATAAATGAGCTGGTCATAAAAGGAGCATTGTGATTGCAGTGGACAAAGATGTAAGTGCTGTTTGGGCATGGTGGCTCACACAGTTAATCCCAGCACTCAGGAGGCAGAAACAGGACTCTCCCAACTCAGCCAAGCTTAGCTGCATACTGAATTGCAGCTACATACAGGCCACTGGGCTATAAAATGGGAAGAAATAAACAAATAAAACTATAAAGAAACTAGGTATGAACACAACGATTTAGCAATGCCTCTGGTGTGTGTGTTCTCTCCTTTTATCATGCAGGCTCCAGGCATTGAACTCATGTACCTGCTGAAACATCTTGTTTTCTCCTCCTCCTGAGATCTAAGGGTACTAAATACATATCCACTGAATGGAAGGACATTTCTTTTCCCATGGATTTTTGAGATTCTTGAAATTTGCTGAATACTAAGAATTTCTACGAGTCAATAAAAATTGAAAACTTTCTAGTCGTTACATATAAATAAATAATTTTTTCAATATTGTTTTTATTTATGTGTGTATGTATGTGTCTGTGTGTGGGTTTGTACACAAGTGCAGCATCTGTTCCAGAAGAGGGTGTTGGATTACATACAACTGGAGTTACAAGGTGGTTATGAACCACACAATGTGGATGCCAGACCTAAGTTCTGGCAGGGCAGCCACTAAGCCCCATTTCTTTGTTTTCACCCTACACAGGATATAAAATGTAAATCAGGAGAGGCTGCTTTAGAAAATGCATTTTGGGAGTATTAAGTCACAGTGAAGATGAGGCTTTTCTAATAATGGGAATGAGAAAGAATGATTTCAAAGTATCAGAGTTTATTTCAAGTAAAGAGTCCTTGAGTTAGCTATCAGCTGACTTTTCTGATGACATTTATCTACTCGAAGGACTGTAAATCACACAGTTTACAGTTTGTAGTGAATTCCAGCGGAACTGTGGTCTGGGACCTGGGATGCTGTTCTCAAAGACTCATACCAGCGCTTAAACCCAAGACTTCAGGTATGCCAGGCATAGCAGGCAGGCATTCTACTCCCACGCTACACATCCTATCACTGCAGGTGCCCCTGCCTGAGCACAAAGCAAAGTTCTGCCTATCCAGTGCTCAGCCAGTTTGGAGACTGAGGGACGAAAGAATAGGTGGGGGCCACTGGCTGCGGCACCAGGATTTGTCCCCACTGCTTTTACTGACTATTTGGAACCCATTCTCTTTGGATGAATACCTTGCTTGGGCTGGATATAATGGGGAGGACCTTGGTCCTTCTTCAGACCCCTTCCTCTGGGGAGTGATGGGGGAGCAAGAGAAGGCATGACAAGCAGGCTGTTTCTTCCAGCCTGTAAAAAAAAAAAAAAACTCTCCCATATGCTTCTTGCAAGTTGGTTCTTGTACTTACACTGTGTTGTAGGAATTTGGCAGTTTCTGTTTCTGGGACAGACATAAGAATGAGTAACTGTTTCCTAGACGTACTTTGACCTTGAGAATCACTGTGGTAGACAGTAAAGAATCCTTGTAGAAAACAGTGACTGTTTCCCATGAGTTGTAGAATTATTGGGCTGGAGATATGACTCAGTGGTTAAGAGCACTGCCTGCTCTTCCAAAGGTCCCGAGTTCAATTCCCAGCAATCACATAGTGGTTCACAACCATCTGTAATGAGATCTGGTGCCCTCCTGAGGAAGAGACCTGGTCAGTCGTCTTCATCCACTTAGACCATGAAACCCAATATGGACAAGGTCAACAGAACCGCCATATATGTATGGGCTTCCCATGCATGCTTCAGCATTGCCAGGGCATAAATTTCTTTTTTCCTTTTTTTTTTTTTTCTGAAGGGGCATTGCCTCTGGCACACCTGAGGCTCCTGTATTATTGTGTACTGCACGCGATACATAGTAAAGGACTAGTGTCACGGGGGCATGTGACAGTTTCCTTTAGTGAGACTTATAGATTAGATTAGGGACCTTGGTATGAGGAAATACTTTCCCCTGAAACAACCTTGTGTAATAATCAATAACTATGCCTCTGTACTGCTGTTCGGAGTTCAGTCCGTCAGAGAGTCTGGGCCTGCTTGCTGCCACAAAGGCCTTAAATTTCATCTTGGAGTGCGTTCTTTCTTCAACCGCGCCACGCTACATGGCGCACCGTGACGGCACTGACTGCAAGGATAGCGTTTAGTAACCGAACCCATCATCAAGCAGCTTGCCTCCTATCGAGCAACGGCTAATCCACACGCCTCACAACTTGTCTCCTGCTGACGGTAAATCAATCAGGCTTTCTTACCGCCACCTTAGTGCGATGACTCAGATCAATGAAGTCCAACCTTCCTGACTATTTTATTTGATTAGCTCACATTCACACGCCAATTCCTTTCTCTTCCCCGTGGAGTTGGTGTGAAGAAATACACGAACATGCTTTTGAGTTCATTCTTATGATGCAACACAATCTGACCAAACACCGACTCTGAAAGGCTTATGGAAGCTGGATGAGATCTCTGAGTGACGCAGACTCTTGTCTTCCTCAGTGTCAGTGGATCGCCATTTACACAGCGGACACGGAGTGTTAGCTGATAGCGCAGCTAGCCTGTGAGAAGCATGCCGTTATGTTGGGGAGAATAACACAGAACGATTTGGACAGAATCTCTTGGATAAAATCAAGAATGAAGATGACCCGGAAGAGACTGAGGAGGCGAGGGACTCGCGACTTCAGAAGCACTGTGCGTATTACCGTATCTGAGGAGGTCATACTCCGCTGGATTTTTCATCTCTTCCTTAAACTTCTGCTGGAGGAACTCAATTCGGGGACACTCGCACATACTGAGGCTGTTCACAAGGGTGACGGCTTCTCTTTGGAGAGGGGGCTATAAAGGGAGAAACAAATCTGAGGACTTTCTTCTACTTTTTTTTTTTTTATAAAACAAAATTGACGACATTTCTACTTCAATGCAGATGGCTTATTTTACATTTCTATGTCTGCCAAAGCAATCTGCAAGAAAGAGATAACCTCCAGGTGCAGCCTCATTATGCAAATTAATTTAAATATTCAAATTGTGCATGCAAATAGCTCTATAATGAAGTGATAAGGAAAAAAAATTGTTCCTGGAAAACAAGCCAAGTCAAGAGAACCCATAATGCCCTGTGGAGCAGGGGTCAACAGCTTTCAACAAGGACTTGTGGGAAATTCTAGCTAACTCCAAAAAGAAGGGCCCATGTGGGTGAGGTACTATAGCCACAAAGGATCCCATTCGTCTCTGTGTATGCCACACAGTCTCCGTTATTTTCCAGAAACAAAACATTTCTAATTGTGCACAAACATCTTAGCTTTTGTTGTGACAAACTTCGCTTCCTCCAAATTGTATCAGGAATAAGTACAGAGCACTCTAAAAAGCAAACAGAATCACTTTTCTGAATAAGAAACTAGAGCTATAAGAGATCATATGAGTATCCAGAGATGGGCAAAGAAATTGGCAGAATCACCATCTGAACTCAGATCCATTTGCTCCTCTTATAACTTCAGAGTTTTAAATTTGTCATTAGTTTTTGAGAAATAACCAAATTGTTTGGAATTATGTCTTTTCTGAAATGTCACATACACACACACACACACACGTTTCTTTTTCCTTTTTGTCTAACAGAAACCCAAAGCTACCCAAAGACGTAAAGTGTGGCTCCTGGGACTACAAATCCCACAGTTCAGCAAACGCTCTTCTCTCCCTGCGGTGAACATCCCCACCTGCTCAGTAGCAGTGGGAAGCCACAGTACAACCTTGGCCCTCAGGGAACAAAGAGAAGACAGACAGGAACTATGAGCGATTACTAAACATATACATGTGAAGTCCGAGGAGCTGTTGGGTTGTATACAGTTTGCCACCCCCCTTCCATTTTCTTGGGACTGGCCTTATTTGCCTCTTGAAGCTAGCTAGGCAAGTGCTCTGCCACAGGACTCGAATCTCAGGACTCCTTTGATTTCTTTTATTTTGAGACAAGGTCTCAGGTGGTTGTCCAGAGTGGCTCTGAACTTGCTCTGAAACCAAGGCAGGTCTTGAAACCACAATCCTCCTGTCTCAGATTCGCGGGCAGCTGGAATGACAGGCCTGGCTGCTCTTTTTTGTATAGTTCTTCATTTTAGCTGACTTTTAAAAAATTAACTTGCAAACTAAGAAAGAGTGCTCCCACTGCTTGGGAATCAGGGAAAGCGATGAAGAGAACACCCTTAGCTGAGTCTTGAAGGATAAGAAAGATTGGCCCAGGAAACGAGGATTCATTATTTTAGCAGGGAGGAAATCGGTGTTGTGTTGTGTTTAAGAGACTCTCAAGTACAGTGCTCACGTCATTTGTCCACCACTGGATCTGCTGAAAGGGAGGTGAACTGAAGCCATGTCTGCTTCTGGAATCCCACCCTCTGCTGTATAAAACACAACCAACCTAGGACAAACTCTTGTCTAGACTACTTATCAGAGCCTGCTTCCCAGTGTAGAACCCAAGTGTTTATCTGTATTTACTTAAACTCGGATGGAGGCAGGGAAAGGTCACGGGGTCCGCTGAGTCCAGGAAACCCACCTTCCCCTAGTTTAAGAACCTGGTGCCCAGAGATGGCAACTGGAAAGAACCTAGTATCTTAGATGAGGTGACCGATAGCGAAGCCCAGGCTCGGCACAGCTCCAGCCACCCCGTGGGGACAGTGGAGCCACTGTGGCATAGACGCCCAGCTCATCTGGCCCTCTTGGTGCCACATAAAGACAGTTCTCCCATTCCTCAGTTCTTCCCGAGGTGAGTACCGGATGGCATTGGAGAGAGAAGGTTGTAAACTTTAACCTCACAGTATTCCCATGTGGTAGGAACAAGAGACAAAAAGAAAATGATGGTCAAACGACAAAAAGTTAGAAGGATAAGTCTGGAAAGAAGGCTCAGTGGTCAAAAGCAAGTTGCCACTTTTTCAGAGAACCTGGGTTCGATTCCTTGCATCCGCATGGCAGCTCAAAACTGCCTGTAACTTTAACCTCTGAGGGCACCTGGATGCACATGGTGCACATATACACACTTAAGTTAGGAAAGAAAGAGTATAGTATGATTCTCTTAGTTAGGGTCACTGCTGCTATGATGAAACACCAGGGCCTAAAGCAAGTCGGGGAGGAGAGGGTTTATCCCACTTACACTTCTGCATCCCTGTTCATCACTGAAGGAAGTCAGGACAGGAACCCAGTCAGGGAGGAACCTGGAGGCAGGAGCTGATGATGCAGAGGCCACCAAGGGGTGCTGCTTACTGGTTTGCTCCCCACGGCCTGCTCAGCCTGCTTTCTTATAGAACCCAGGACCACCAGCCCAGGGATGGCACCACTCACAATGGCCTGGACCCTCCCCCATCAATCACTAATTAAGGAAATGTCTTACAGGCTTGTCTACAGCCCCATTTTCTGGCAGTATTCTCTTAATTGAGGTTCCCTCCTCTCAGCTGACTTTAGCTCGTGTTGAGCTGGCATGACACTAGGCAGCACAATCATAGGAGCCAAAGGAGAGGAACCGATGTGTCTCATTGTCCAGATAATAATGGCAAAATATCAGAAACTTTCTGTGTACTAAGCAGTAATCCAAGGACATTTCATGTAAACCTCAGTTACACTGTTTGATTGAGTATATCCAAAATACTGTCGTTTCGACGTGTAAACAACCCAAGAAATGACAGCCGTTAGGAAAGCTGGAGTTTAAGCTTCCAGCACATGGATTTAGAGGGGCTGCTCCAGTGCTCAGTGTTCACAGGAGGGCGGGGTTGCCCCAGTTAGCAGAGCAACACAGGCAACTACTGGGAGAATTAACGGAGAGGCAGGAGATGAACCCTCAGCACAGTGTCTGGGGGGCAGTGAGCGCACAGAGGGTGCGAGCTTCTGTGCTCATGATGTCCCCGAGTTCTCCAGAGTGACTGTGAGCATTCACGCTGCCTTCTAAGACCCTAAACCCCTCACTTCTTGTTTCCTTTCAAGAAAGTACCGCGAGGACGTCACTATCCTGCCAGAGCCACCGACAGCTGTGGCCTGGGCTGTCACAGCAGCTCTCTAAGTCAGCGTCCTGCCATCTGCTCCTGCTCCCTCTGATCCACTCCCCAGAGTCCTCCCCAGCTCGTGTGTGTGTGTGTGTGTGTGTGTGTGTGTGTGTGTGCGTGTGTGTTCTGTATGTGGAGGACAAAGGCTGACACTAGAGATGTCCCCCATCTCTCTTGATGTTATTTTTTTGAGGCAGGATCTTTTTTCACTTGCCAGCTTGGCTAGATCGGAGGCCAGCAAACTTCTGGAACTCTCTTGTCTCTCCAGCTCTGGGTTTACAGGCATTTGCCACCATTCCCAGGGTTTACTTGGGTGCAGGAAATGGAATTCAGGACCTTGCATAACAAAGACTTTACCAATCCAACTGTCTTCCCAATTCCAGAAAACATTTTCATTCATTCTTTTTTTTTATGGTAAAATACACACAAGATAAAACTGACTAACTGTTTCTTTTCTTTTCTTTTTGTAATCACCAAGAGCATTTGTTTATTTTCCATACACGCAAGGGGTCAACCATTCAGAAAACTGACAAATGGTGATGCCAAGAGAAGCTCACAGGCTCCTTTTAAGCAAGCCTAGGGGAATCCCAGGGAGGAGAGGTTAGTCTGGAGGCTGATTGGTGGGTTTAAACGCACTTTAACTGTTTCTTAAGCACAGAATTCAGTGGCATTGGGTATTTACATACTGTGACACCATCGGCCACATCATGGCCAAAACTCTTTCATTAACTTGACCTGAAACTCTGTACATAATAAACAGTCTGTCTTTGACCCTCACCTCCCCCAGGGCTTGTGATATCTGTTCTTTATTTTATCTCAGGCTTTGCATAGTTTTTAAGTCCCATTAACAACTTTACAAAAATACATACCACTATCACTTTCATTTACAGGATAGAGATAGGCACAGGGATTGGGGATACAGCTCAGTTGGCAGAGAGCCTGCCTGGCACACACAGAGCCCTACGTTTGGCCCCCAACACTGCACAGACAAGGTGTGCAGGTGCATGCCTTTCAGTCCAGCACCTGGGAAGTGGAGGTGGAAGGATCAGGAGTTCAACGTCATCCATGGCTGCGTAGTGAAAAAAGAGGTAGGCAGAGGCAGGCAGAGTGGTACCTCTGGAGAGGATGATGTCAGGGTTCAGTACAGCAGTGTTCTCATTTGTGGGGGTCACAGGGTGAGGCGGGTTGGGAAGCAATGCTCTGTGGTAGTCATCAGGACAGTGCAGGGAAGTGGGCTGGGCTGGATGCGTCAGAGCCCTGGGGCCCAGCGATGGAGCAATAGCAGCAGTTAAGGCGGGGAGAGAAAAGTAAAAAGGAAAGAAACAGTGGGAGAAAAATGAAAAAAGAAACAAAGACAACAGAAAGCATAGTCAAGGCCAGCTAACGGAATGCTTTCAGCATGCAGAGTTTACAGCAGTGTTGGAGATTCCTAATAGTTTTAGAGCCCATTAAATAAAGAGATTTCAAAGCCACCAGTAAAAATAAGACTCCAAGAAGAACGAAATCAAGTCAGGCAAACAGAGTCATAGCGGGCTTCCTGTGCCGTCTTTTCTGTCCTTAAGACTCTGTCTACCATGTCACCAAGCTTCCACCAAACAGGAGCAGAAGCTTGCTGTCGATAGGATGCAGGGATGGGGAGACATGTCGTGCGGGTGGCAGACCTCACTCTCTAGCAAGATTATTCAAAGAGACTGGACACTACCTTGTCTGTCTCGCTCTCCTGGAACCCCTTTTCAAGGATTTGCAGCAGCTGCTTCTTCGTCACTGCCACTTCGGGATCAAAGACATAGAAGAGACATTCCAGCATCTTCCGATAGCTCCTCAGGAACAGTGGAGACAGACAAAGCGTGAGAGTTGATTTCACGCAAGCTTAGCCATGAGCAAGTTAACCGTACGCCCATGGTGGGAGATTCCTGTTTGCAGTGCCCCGCTCTACTCTCAAAAAACAGGTCCAGTATGGACAAACACAGAATTGTCTCAGTCATGGGAGATGTAGGACCAGAATAAATTTAACTAGCAGGGTGGGCTTTTCATATGGTTAACTTTTAAACCAGGATATTCATATTTTCTCTCGCGCCACCCCCCCCAAAACAAAACAAAGATGGGCCTTTTACAGCCACTCAGTACAGAATGGATTCTTACTCCAAATCATGTATATCTTCATCATCCAAAAACCTTTGGAATTTCTCTTCGAACTTCAGTCTCAGAATACGGTTGTTAACTTTAATGACACGCTTGACCTTCACGCCTGTGATGCCATACGCTCTGAAGTCCCAGGTACAGAAACGTGAGAGAATTAGTTCATAGCAGGAATTAAACCTATGTGGGGACACAAAACACACACACACACATACACAACAGAAGAAGCTGAAGGACACAAAGCAGGTGCGAAAAAAGTCACAGCTCCTATTTAGTGATTGTTGCGCTAGACATATGTCATCAGATAGATCACAGTAACTATGTTTTTTGCTCCAGTTGGTATAGTTACCCAGCAAAAGATGCTAAAGCTTGAAACACAGTAAAAGGTTTTTTTTTTTTAATCTATTGTCTAGTTCTTTCACTTAAAGGCTATGTTGACCGCATCCCCACTCCCTCGTAAGCCTGTTTGGTGGCTTCAGCGTGGCCTCATCTTCCTGGCTGCCTTCCTACTGGCTGTGCTGTCATAATACTTCTTTTTCCTGGCTCTCTGAAATGATTATTTTTTAAAAAAATTCATTTATTTTACATTTTAATGGTGCCAAGGATTGAACCTAGGGCCTTCCGCATGCAGCCAAGCCCTTTGCCACCGAGTTACATGCCCCCATCAGACCTGGAAAGATTGTATTTCCCCAGGAAGCAGAATATGGCCCTCTTGTTTCCTCTCTCCTTAGGTGATTTCATCTGGTGTGTATGTACATATGTATGTATGTATGTATGTAGATATATGCATATATTCATGTCTACCCAAACTTAACTGTAATACCCAGATTTGAATATTCAGCTATTGTCTAAAATGCCCACTTGAGTATGTGAAAAAGCCTTTCAAAGCTGACTCGTTGAGTAAGCACCTGGCCCCACCCCGTGGCTAAGACTGCGGGAGCGACTATCTCTGCTCCTCCTCACTCTCCCTCATCTCCTCCTTCAGCATGCCTGCCACCATGCCCCAAATGCGTGCTGAATCAGATCCTGGATACCATCACCACTGGTGCTGGCCTCGTTGAAAGCATCATTATCTCTGGGGCTATTACAAGAACTTCCTAATTAAGTTAGGACACGTGCGGGGGGGGGGGGGGGGGGAAGGTAGGACTCTGGTTTTTCTCCTAAGGCAGAGTGGATATACAATAAATACGTAGAGCCATAAGTTCTAAACTGACGAAGGCTTAAAAGAGAAGCCTTTGGTGAGGAGTGGAGAGAGCCTTCCTGAAGTCTTAGGGAAGATCTTCCTGGAAGGAATGCCACCTGAGAGCCAGAGGAGGAAGATTGGCAGTTTTGTGGAACTCAGCGACTGCTCGGCTCTCTGCTGCCCTCATCTGGCCATTCTTAGAGAATTAGAATTTTGTCTTAAAGTTGTACAGCATGAAGATTAAGGTGAGATTAAAGAACAGGAATCATGGGATTTTATAGGGGATCCGTTTGCCCCATATTCGTTTGAATGTGCCCGAGAGCTGAAGCCGCAGAGGGGAGCTTCCTCGTGGTTGGTTTGTGAGCCCAATATCGGAACTCATAGCTTAGAGAACCTGATGTTCTCACCACTAGAACCTTAATCAGCGCAGGCAAGGGCCACCGGCCACTCTTCTCCTAAAGTGAAAAACCGAACTCGCCAAGTCTAGTTAATCCGGTGGGAGCACTGACGGTTCAGTGGTGGAAATCCTGCCGCCCAGCTCTAGGCAACGTGAAAATCTAGCACTACTCAAACACTTCCTGTTAAGGAGAGATCCCTGAATTTAAAAATATTGGTGAAAGAGAAGTCAATGTTTAAGTTAACCAGCGAGAAATGAGGCACCTGGTTATTTAAGGCTCTTTGGTTGTGGTTTATTTTTAAAAATCATACGTAAGAAAGCAGACCTTGAGTGGCCAGGCATGTGGAATGCTTAAAGCAAGCAACCGGCCTGGAAATTCTGCCAATATACATTTGATTACCTCCTTAAGGGAGGGTCAAGTTTATTCTTATTAAATTCAAATTAATGCTTTGTAGATACCTATTAAAAGCCACCAAAACTATCCAACTTTCTATCAGGCTGACATAAAAGCAGAAATGGTATTTTAGTGATTTCTTTTTCTTTCTTTCTTTTCCTTCTTTCTTTCTTTCTTTCTTTCTTTCTTTCTTTCTTTCTTTCTTTCTTTTTTAATTTTTAGAGTCAGGGCTTCTCTGTGTAACAGTCCTAGCTGTCCTGGAGCTCACTCTGAAGACCAGGCTGGCCTCGAACTCACAGAGATCCACCTGCCTTTGCCTTCTGAGCGCTGGGATTAAAGGCGTGCGCCACCAATGCCTGGCTGTGATTTTATTTTTAATGTTTTTTTTTTTTAACTAACTGTCCTGTTTTGTTAAGAGGTTAAACTGAAGCAGAAATACATTATTATCTCTAATAAAGATTCTATTGTTTATCATTCCTCGGTAGACGGAATGAATATGAATGAAAGACTACGTCTTACAACCTCCAGCACCTGGAGTCTGTGCATCTGACAGCCAGGACCTTGTCTACATGGGAAGGGGCATGGACGTCTTTTATGGCCTTGTACGTAAGAAGCAAGTATTGTGGTTAAATAAAGATAAGTGCAGGACAGATTCACTGATATAAAAGATTGATTGACGTGGAAGAATGTGCTTTAAAAGGCCCCTTTCTCCCTGGAGAAAGCTCCTTATACTTCTCCACCCCAGGACCCAGACTTCCACTCTCAAGGGTAAAGGACCTCTCCTGAAAGCAGCCCCTGATCTCCAGGCAGCCACATGTTACAGACACACCTAGCAATCACACGTGTTTATAGAAGTTAACAAGAATGTGGCATTGTGGGCCATAAAAATAAGCCTCTGCCTTGCTGCTGATGTCAAACAACACTGCGCTCTAGGGAGATGTGTGTGCACCCATCCTGTAGTTCCACACGACAGCTGGTTCTCCAATACCCAGGTCTCCAATATTCTAGGGCAACCTTTGGTTGTGTCAAAGGCTTCTAGGTTTGAGAAAGTGACTTCAGAAAGGTGAAACTCCTAACTAATAATATTCTTCTTTAAGGCTTTGTCTTTAAGTGTTATTTCTAATCTATCCTCTAGTTGAGACAACATATCCACTTGCTTTTCTCAGGGGCAGGAAGGCCACGGTTCTGAGGGATGTATGCCTGGGCTCTGCTTCTGTCTCGGGTGGTCCTCTTCAACTTTGTGTGGGATTTTCATTTGGTGTTAGGAGCACAAAGGTCCTTGCACCCACAGATCATTGGGAAACCAGGAATGTTAAGCATGCGGGACTCTCTATTCAAAGAGAAGGTGTTTAACCTGTTCTCCCACCCAGAAGGCTGGGAATTGAAGGTGATTAACAGTCTGGGTGATCTGTGTTATCTGAAGGGCCAGGACAGGCTAGATGATCCTTACACTATCTGTATAGCCAGGGCCTTCCCCAAGCTCCCACAACCAAGACTGAAGATGACTGATAGCCAAAATGGCCTCTGTGCTATCCGTATGACCAAGATCATGGAGACCCTTTTCTATTCCCAGAACCCTTCTTCTTGGAAGAAATGACATGTACTTTTAATTAGGTTTTGATGGAATTATGTCTCCTTGTGCATCAGGGGTTGTATTACATCAGGAAGCTTTTTTTCTTCCCAGACTGTACTGTGTTTAAATATGTCACAATAAATCAGACTCTAGCCTGGCTGACTGAGTCATTCCTACCTCACCTGGACTGTTTCCCTGATGGCTGTGATACCTACAGGGACCCCCACAACCTGAGGTCTGGCTTTGTCTGCCTTCTCCCGACACACAGTGACCACATGCTCACTGACCGCTTAGCTCCCAGCCATGGCTTCCACCTTGACTACAGGCTTGCAGGACAGCCATGAGAGGCCTCCCATGGTGGCAACCTGCTGTTGCCAATTCTGCTGCAGCTTTTTGTTGTTTTCAGCCACTAGTCAGAACCCAGGGTTATACCCACCCAGCAATTCTATAAATTCGCGAGGATATAGTTCCACAATGGACTATAACTTTTTTCTTAAAATTTCTATAAACTTCCCATAAACTGTTTTCTGCTGTCTTACTAAGAAAAATGTACACAGAGCAGCACTGTCAAGGTGTCCAGAGTTTGGCTCATTACAATAAAGCAATTCAACAAGTGTACAGATGGGAAATATGGAATAGCAAATTTTCAACAAACGAATATTTTGATAAAAACTGTTTTGAAATGAGACACTCTATAAGTTGATCATCTGGCTAGGATCCTAGGTCCAATTATTTTTCAAGCTATACTTAAGGTTCGGATGTACCAGTCATCAGCTTGGGTGCCTTCTTCAAAGTGGATATTCCCCACAGTCTCCAATTCGGTTAGCAAAAACGGGGTCAATAAGCCATGGCTCTTCTTCTTTTGTCTTACTTCGATATGGTAAATTGCTTCAATTCTGCCAGAGACAAAATGCAGTGCAGATATCCATATGATATGAAAACTCACAGCATTAATGCACAGCAGTTTGTTCCTGTACCGTAACATGTATTCACTTTGTTCATGGGCTGTCACATGTATTCACTTTGTTCATGGGCTGTCACATGTATTCACTTTGTTCATGGGCTGTGTAACATGTATTCACTTTGTTCATGGGCTGTGTAACATGTATTCACTTTGTTCGTGGGCTGTCACATGAATTCTGTTCATTTATATAATCCATCATGTATTTTTAATATCAGTTACTTTTTACTTTCAGTGAATGAGTAAGGTTAATGTCAGCAGTAAACAAGGAACAAGATATTCTGTTTCTGGCAGTGAAAATCACCGCAGATTTTGTTACTCTCACTCAGAGTAGGAAAAGTTAAAAAGACTTCCTGGAACTAAGAAGAGGACTGCCAAATCCTAGGCAGGCCATTTTGTGTTCTAATACCACAATATCCTCAGTCATGTCAATACTAACAGCCCTTATGTCTAAATGGCTAGTCTGAGGGTCACTTGGCATGGAGTAGCCCCCTACCTCCAAATGTTGCAATCCTGTTGCTAATATCATTACAGGACCCAATCAACTTATTTACTCGGTGTCCCAGTAAACAAGAGAGCAGTTGGACCAAGCAAGGGCTGTGGGTGTGCCTTGCTGGATCTGGTCTGCTTGCTGAGTTTCTGAACTAAGCAGACCATCTTTCAGTTTGCAGACAGAAGCAGACACTTGGCACCAAGCTGGGAGGAGGATGCTCACTGTGCTGAACTGAAAATGGCCTCAGCCAGAGCCCAGTGTTGAATGGGTGGGTGCCCTAGGCACCCAAGTGCCGACACAGCTCATGTTTTGTTGTCTCCCCTTTCTCGAGGGAACTGAGCTCAACTCTCGGCCCCCAGATGGTTATTCTTTTATGTTTTCAATCTGAAGGAGCAGACAGTTCACTAAACGTACTCATTTAGTTTCTTCTTCCAGAATGCGACCCTTTCATCCAGGGCGCTCAGTTTGGTGAGAATCTTCTGCTGCCGACCCGAATCTTGTGCCACAGTCTCACTGGTCTTGGGTGTCTCAGCCTCTGGTGCATCGTCATTTTGTCCTTTAGCAAGCCCCTTGAGTTCAGCTAATTCCCGTTCTAACTGTTGAAAACAGCACACCAGAGAGCAAGTTAAAACGAAAACATTATGAGGCAAAGCCTCCATTCAGATAGACTTTTTTTTTTTTTTTGTGGTTAGATGTATTAGTCAGCGTAGATGGTCAAAGTGGAAATGTGGGTAATGGGTGGCTGAGGCTTTATAAAAGTCAAAGGGTGACTTCAACCTTGGGGCAAGTTCATCTACGGAACAAGTGATGGTTTGAAAGAGGAGGCTTGGGAGTCTCTTAACTGACAGCAAGCACGTTAAAGCCAAAGGGAAGTTAGAGCCCGTGATGGATTGGGTGTGAATACAACCTTAAACTTCAAATAATGTAATTTTAAAAACATGCTTACTTTTCAACTTTTTTCAACTATGTGTGGAGATATATAAACCATAGAAAACACACACAAGGGGAGATAAAGTTTGCCTTTTGTGTCAGTATCCGACTAGCAAAAAAACCACACTTTGTATCAGATTTTAATATTTTGGAGTTTGTCATCGATAGTAGACTTTTTGGTATTAATTGAGATATTTAAAATACTGCTTTGACTATTAATTATCTTGATTACTTAACCTTTGGATCACCCCTGAAAAGTTTCGGTCAAAGACAAATAAAACTCTTGTAGGATTTAAAGATAAACTATAATACACAAAGTTTATAACAAGAAATTTACCAGTTGGCTATATCTTCGCTTAAATAGCTATAGTGGGCTGCTAAAATAAAGTTACATATTTAAAATTGTGTGCAGTTTATATAAAGTACGTTCATTTTCTTGCTTGCAGATTTTAATTAATATAGCTGAACACACTTGAACTGAAATTTGAAGAGCACTCAACTTTGGACATATTTTAGCTATTTTGATAAGGGATGCTCAGCTGGTAGAGTACATGTAAATATTCTAAAATGTGAAAAATGCAAACTTTATCTTCAGTATCTCTCTCTCTCTCTCTCTCTCTCTCACACACACACACACACACACACACACACACACACACACAGAGGGTAGCAGATGGGAGGGTTAAGAAGTAACTATTTTGTCTGATAATTTTTCTACATTGTAGCCACTAGAATTTTACATGATTAAATCTTACATTTTTTTTTGCAAAGTTGAATAATTTTATCCGTTCTTCTGGTAGCTTCTGCAACTTGCACTTTTTGTCATTCAGTTTCTCAAGCTCTTCATTCAGATGTCTCTGAACAGTTTTTATTCGCATGTTATAATACATTATTTTCTTCATCGCTGTGGTCTGAAGGCAAGAGAGTGAATAGCGTAGGCTAAGATAAAACAAATTACAGATGGCTGTGCTGGCTAGGTTCATGTCAACTTGGCGTAAGCTAGAGTCATTTTGGAAGAGGGAACTTCAACTAAGAAAATGCCCTGCCAGGTTAACCTCTGACAAGTTTTCTTGACAGATGATTGACATGAGAGGGCCCAGCTCACTGTGCGCAGTGTCCCGGGTCCATAAGGAAGTGGGCAGAGCAAGCCATGAGGAGCAAGCCAGTAAGCAGTGCTCTTCTATCAACTCCAGCCTCCAGGCTCCTGCCTTGAGTTCCAGCCCTGACTTCTCTGGATGATGGATAAGTAGGCTGAAATAAACTCCTCCTTGGGAGCTTTGGGCCACAGCAATAGCAGCCCAAGACATCGCCATCAGTGGTGCTGTATGAGCATAACAGGCTCTCGATAAATTCGGAAGCTGGCTTGCTCCATTAGAAATGCTGACGACGACAGCAGGTGCGAAGGTGCTCAAAGGATTTAACTTAATACGTAGGACATAAAATCTCAACGAGCATCTTGGTGTTTAATATGTGAATATGTGGAATATTCACATCTATTTCCAGAATTTCCAAGAAAGAAATCGCAGACATAATTTAATTTATAAAACAGTGTATTTAGCTAATAGGACATGGGACTGGAGCAAATATTAAACCAATATTCCTAGTTTATTAATTCAGGGAAAGCAAGCAAATTAAAAGGGGTTAAAAGCAAATGCAAACTTGAGTAAAATTCACTTTTTAAAAACTCTGACAAAAAAAGATTTACTGTCCCCCCGGCCCCACAGTCTGCAAAAATGGTGCTCTAGCTGAACTATTTTTGGACTGAGTAGATTATTAAATTATCACTTTAATGCAATTATCTCAAACTTTAAATTTCATGCCAGTATACCATTCAGTTATTAATCAGCTAACAATAACAAATTGATTAAATAGCCCATTATGGATTATACAAGCTAAATGATGCCTGAGAATTAGATTAGTCAAAAAGAACTGACCAGACAATCTACCTAAGGGGATCAGCTCAGTGAGAGCTTCCCTCTTGAAAAATAAGGTGGAGAACCATATAGCAAAACACTTGACATCCACCTTTCGCCTCCATATGAGCACACACAGGTGAGTACACCCACACATACATGTGTACACACAAGCATACACCTCACTACTCTCTCTCTCTCTCTCTCTCTCTCTCTCTCTCTCTCTCATACACACACATCTTAAGAAGGAAGGAAGGAAAGACAATTGGGAAATGATGTTTCTTGCTTTTTGAACATTTGGGGTAAGTGGAAAAGCCAAAACAAATATACTTGAGTCATCAAGGATTTCAAATAAATTTTTAAGTTTAAAACAGCATCATGTGTTGAGGAGTAAGTAGTTTATTTTGCCAGATAAAATAGCAGATGCTAAGTTAAATTTCAAATAAGCAACAAGGTATTGTTGTACTTATTGAGTTACACCAAGACATTTTTTTACTGTGTGTATGAAATTCAAATTTAACTTACTTAGATTTCTTCCATGTGGGGAAAAAGTTAAAAATACTATATTTAATTTGTTCTAAAATAATTTTAATAATCATGTATCAAAAATTCTATTTCCGGGGCTGGAGAGATGGCTCAGTGGTTAAGAGCATTGCCTGCTCTTCCAAAGGTTCTGAGCTCGATTCCCGGCAACCACATGGTGGCTTACAACCATCTGGAATGAGGTCTGGTGCCCTCTTCTGGCCTGCAGGCATACACACAGACAGAATATTGTATACATAATAAATAAATAAATAAATATTTTAAAAAAAATTCTATTTCCAACAGACACGTGTTTTCCATTTTTAGTACGACCGCTGAATTCCAGCATTAATGTTGTCATCTGTGTATTTTCAGGAGAAAATTCTGCTCTTGGGGCAAGAGCAGACAGGACATCAGAACTGACTGCACAGTATGACCAACCGTGTATGAGGACCCAGGCAGAGAAAAGCCATTAGCCAAGCGTCCTTGCGTCCCAGATACCTGACTGTGAACACACTTACATCGGCTAGTTCCTTGATTTGCTTTGCAGATACATCGAAGGTGTCGAGTCGTTGAAGAGAAGGCAAGTGATACAACACGTGGGTGGAGTAATTGCACAGCTGACACACTGGATTAGTTTTATACTGAGGATCATTCAGAGATAAGTCCTTTAAGAGAGGCAGCCTGGTCAAGTTAGTAAGGTCCTAAAACAGCAGTGAAAATGTTCAGTTATGAATACTCACGCTGGAAGGAGGTGTTTTAGCACACAAGATCAGCCACAGTCTCATGCAACGCATTCTAATTGAACACCTACGTACGCCTGTTAAGTGACTTAGATGGCTGTTTCTCACTAGTGAAAAAAGAAGCTAAACTCCAGAAGATCAGCGTTTGCTGTAGATGACGGGCTATACAGCTATGCAGTTTCTGTGTACCAGCTGCTGCTCCAAGCCAAAAATCACTAATTCTGTGATTCCCTAGGGAGATCTGTGATCATGTGATAATAGTGCCTTGCTGGGAAACAGTAGCAGCTGTGTGCTGTCTGTCAAACACAGTCCCCACTGGAGATCTAACTAGCCCTTTAATCTTGGCTCTTGGTGCTCTCATGTGCGCCCATTTGAACCAAATGCCAATGCTGGCATTACTGAAATAGATCCATGATTTCTTATTTCCACGGCCTTATGAATATTCATCTCCCCCTCTTAGAATGTCCATTGCCTTGGCCCAGAAGAACCTCCTGCAATGCCTGTTAAAATGTTGCTACCCTTTCCTATTGATTAACGCCTTTGACTTTGACTAATCAGGCAAAATTTTACTCAAATTTCTTTTTAATTTACTCATTCTGCTGCTTTGCAATACCCTTTTGTTTTTCTCTGAGTTAAAGAGTATCTATTTACATTGGGGGATTCAAAATTAGTCCTTACTCCCCCTTCTCTGATATTTTCATCAGGTGGGCTTGAATATTTGCCTTCAATCTCACATTGTCAGAACCATGTTGTGAACAAGACGAGAAAGCAAGGGAAAGGTTTGACAAGAGAGATTTAGCAAACCGTATTTCAAAGGACTCACGCAAGCTTTGCTGTCCAGAAAACAGACTGAGACTAGAGAAAAGAAAAAGGGTTGACAAGGTGGTGCAGCAGGTAAGGGCACTTACTGCCGAGTCTGAACCCCAGGACCCACAGGGTCAAATGAGGGAACTGAATCCTCCTGAAAGTTGTCCTCTGTCTCCACGCATGCGTCATGGCACGCACGCATGCACACACAAAATAAATAAAAGTATGGAGAACTGTAAGAATTTGCACTTTAAGGTCTCCTTTCAGTATTGCAGATTGACAACCACAGTTGACAGTGGTCCAGGCAGTAAGACTCTGGTCATAGTCCAAATGGTCACTAACAGGATTTGCTCATGGATTGAGGGTAGAGTATGAAAAAATAATAGGAGTAAAGCAGGGTTATAAAGATTTTTGCTTAATTAACTGGAAGAGTAGAAATACCATTTAGAGAATCAGAGATGTCTACAGGGAAAGAAGGTTTGGGGAGAAGACATGAATTTGAAGTTGGTCAAGTGAGGTGTGCAGTTCAGAGAAGTGGTCTGAGTAAGCAGAGGGATCAATTTAGCAGTGATTAGCTTAGCTGTATTTACAGTCATAAGGCACAATGGGATTATCTAAAGAATGAATGTAGACATAAACGAGAAAGAGACCCCAGGGCTAAGAAGGGGCAGTCCACTTTTTCAGATGTTATTAGAGGATGAACCCCAAACGAAATGGATGGAGAAAGCCTAGGAGAAACTCAAGAGAAAGTCACATCCTACCATCTGGCTAAGCAGCTATCTTTTGGTTCTACAAGAATCCAGTCATTATGACTAATTGGACAGAGGCTTCTCAAACTCTCTAGAGCTGTGGTTCTCAACCTTCCTAATGCTGAGACCCTTTAATACAGTTCCTCATGTAGTGCTGACCCTCAACCATAAAATTATTTCAATGCTACTTCATAACTATAATTTTGCTACTGTTATAAATCGTAATGTAAATATCTGATATGAGACCCCCAAAACATTAGAGCATCAGGAAACACAAAGCTAATAACTCAATGAAATTACTCTTGAAGGAGAATTGTTTGGTGTATTTTCTGGTCTATACAGTTTGTAACTCAGGTTGATAACCAGAAACCAGTCATTTAGTTGAACACACCTTGAAAGAAGTAATTTGGTTTCCAGAAAGGTTTAGTTTTTCCAGTTGGTCATTGGGATCAAGACATCGCCCTATAATTTAAAAACAAGAATAAAAAACCATTAGGGATGAAGATATAGCTCAGTGGCAGAGTGTCTGTCCGACAAGCCCAAGGCCCTGAGTTCAATCCTCAACATCACAAAAACAAGCTTCTCGTTCTACCTTTATTCTATATCCTGGCATACTTGTGGGTTATGGATGACCATTATTTCCCACATGTCAATAGGATTCATGATACCACTGTATAATCGGCGATAGTTATTAGTGACTGGTAGTTATGCATTTGAGCCATAGTTTTCAAAATAGGTAGGGAAGTGGGGGCGGATTGGGGAAGAGTTGCGTGAGTGTAAATCTGATCAAAACACTTCAGGAGAGACTCTCAAAGGAGCACTCGCTGTTTTAAAGATCTTCACAGCTCAATGGAAAGAGCCCCATCTAAGATGCAGAAGCAAAAGAGCTTTTCAATGACTTAAAGCCTAAAAGGAGCAACTCTAAGCACACACTTTTAAAACGCTCTCATCCGGATTCCAGAGGAAACAGTACGTACCAATGCTGCTTATCAGGTTTCCTGCGAGGTTGAGGTCATTTAAATTCTTCAGAGTCTCTAAGCCCTGCAAGTGTAGACAACATGCAATTTTAAAAATTACTAATTCTGACCACCCTGGTTATTTCCCTGGGTGTTCTAACAGTAGATAATGTGTGCTTCGCAGGCCCAGAGGAAAATGGGTACAATTAAGCCACCCCTGTCTCACTTTAATGGAACCTGGAGAGAATTTTAAAAAGGAATAGAAAAGAGGGGAGGGTAAGAAAAGCGGAGGGAGTGGAGAAACCACCGTACCCCACAGCTTCTTTATGATTGTAGGCAAGTCACACCGCCTCTCTAAGGCTCCAGTCTGAGAACCTTCTAACTCCAAATGTCACCTTACTTCCCAGGCCAGTTGTGGACAATAGCGACAATGGCTCCTTATAAAATGCAACCTACACGCTACTTCTTCTTTTTTACCTCATGAAAATAAATCATACATGAGAGTTTTGCCTGCATGTATGTCTACTGTGTGTGCCTGGTGTCCACAGAGAGCAGTAGAGGGTGTTAGGTGCCGTGGAACTGGAGTTACAGACACCTATGGGCGGCCATGTGGGTGTTGGGAATGGAACCCAGGTCCTCTGGAAGAATAGCCAGTGCTCTTAACCACTGAGCCATCTCTCTCCAGCCACCCCCAGCTCTTTTTGACAACAGTAACTGTACTATTTAGACATATTTTGACCCTTAACACTAAATGATCTAGGACACAGTGGTTTAAATGACAGTAAACTGGCCTGACATGCCAAGTATCGAAATGACCTCACCTCAATAGTTCTTATCATGTTGTGGTTCAGCCAAAGAACTTCCAATCTTATTAATTTCTCTAAATTTTGTATTTTGGAAATTTTATTGTAATATAAATATAATTTTTCCAAATTTTTACATTCTTGAAGGCCTTCAATTTTCTGTTGAAAAGGAGATTGAAGAGTGTTATTTATTTTGCCATTAACTCATCAAATAAAGTAGGTTTCTAAGTCTTTTTTCTTTGAAGTACCATTTCATTGCAATATCAATACCCCCAAAATTAACTAAAAATTTGAAGTAAACATATAATTTCTCTGCCCAAATACAAAATATTTAATTTTCTATACTTTAAGTTTTAGTCAATGACATCAACTTTATATAAATAAAATCAGAGATATCTGATTTTATGGGCCATTTTCTATTTGCTCAAGAGCATCTTAATGCGTTTTCATAATTTTTCAAAGTATGTTTAACAATTACAAAATATTTTATGAAATTCATAATAGTTTTCTTTAAAAATCACTCTATGTGCAGAATGTTCACATTGAAAATTTCACCTGTTGTGAAAATGCTGAAGCAAACTCTTTCACACACGTAACTCTTCCCTGCTGCTGAATTGCTCCTCTAGGAGACAATTCCTAGGCGAGGGATTTCTGAGTTAAAAGGTGTGTATGTTTCTATTGTTCGTGTTGTATTTTGTATTGTTGCTTTCTAAAATACATGTCTGACCAATTTAGTGCCTAATTGAAACATTTTCTGGCAATGATTTGATTTGATATGTGCTTTTTGATTCCTTATTCCTGCTTTCACGGTGTACACATTTTTATCTCTGCCCATTTTTCAGTTTTGATCCATACATGTTGCACATATTTTAATGAATTATTTTTCCAAAGCCTAAGATCACTTCGTCATTTATCTGTTTAAACTTACCTCTATGTAGCACTCAGCAATCCAAAGTTCTTTAAGTTGTAAGCAAGTCTCCAATCCTGAAATCTCCCTTATATCCTGAGCAACAATTGTGAGACTCGATAAGTTAGGAAACAAGGATAACCCAACTATTCGGGGATACCCTGAGAAAAACATCTCCAGTTTGGAAGTATCCGATCCTTCTTGTCCAACCATCTCGTAAGATAAACCATTGCACAAACACTGTTTCAAAAGAAAGAATTTCACTTATTATTTGTTCTAAATAGTTAAGACATTACCTTTTGCCATCAGAAACTGTAAACTGCCCATTAAACTGGCGCCATTCTTGTACTCCCACAAAAGAGAAGCTCGATCACATCCATAATTTCTGTGCTTCCAAAAGTCACAGGAGAGGAGGAGGATCCTCCCTGTCAGTCCTCAAGGCTCCATGAAGAGTGTCAAATGTTCTACTTAACATTCTTGCAAATATTGTTGAAAAGAAACCAGAGTTGGACTTACCAGTTCTTTAACAATTTCACTTTGATTTAAGTTTCCACTTTCAATCATCTTCCATTAAGAAACAATGGTCATAGTCATATATCTAGTAAACAAATGGGAGATTGAGATTAGCACTAGAGACATGGTGGTACAGTGGAGTATCACCTTAATGCATTTCCTGGTGTCCATGGAGACCTCCTTCCATCTCTAAAGTATCCATTTACACATATTTTTAGCATTCTGAACTTAACTTTGCCTCTCCACACTCCTTTCTATTTTATTTTGTCCAAATATAGTCTTCCTTCTAAACAATAAACCTTCAAAGTACTTGAAGAAGTCGTCTTTGACCTTTCCCCAAGAGTCTGAGTCATCGTTGGATCTTCCTACTTTTCTCTCATTCACGGACTGTAGCTTTGATTTCTTACCAGGCTATGGTTCCCCAAGCCAAACCCATTTCTATAATCTACAAAAGGACTTCTGGAAAGTAGATAGATAGAGAATTCATTTGCACTGGGAAAATGAAATTAGATACCTAATATCTAGGTGATTTCCCTATATAAGAATAGCCGGGAAGTGGTGGCACATGCCTTTAATCCCAGCACTTGGGATGCAAAGGTAAGCAGATCTCAGCGAGTTCAAGGCCAACCTGGTCTACAAAGTGAGTTCCATAACAGCCAGAAATGTTACACAGAAAAAAATTACTAAGGCTTATATGGCATGGTAATAAATACTCATTCAAACGAGTTCACTGATTTCTCTTTTGTCAGAGTTGATATGAACCAATTAATATCTAAATGGCTTTAATACAAACTTAATTAAATGTTCATAATTTTAAATATTTTCATTATGTAATGCATATACTAAAAAGTGGAGGGATCTTGTTTTTAATACAATGATATGACAAAATGTGGAAACATTGTATAGTTTCATTCCCCCTAACTCCCTCCCGGAAGTGTACATCTGTACGTAAATGTGTGCGTATACAGCTCTGATGGAAAGGCGTCCTGGCAGCCGGGAGCCAAGGAATATCCCAACGTCACACCACACAATAAACCTCACACAAGAGATTTATTGGGAGGGAAAAATCCGGGAGGGTGGCTGTCTCTACTAGGGTGAGAAACGGCATCAAACTGAACAGATTACAGGGCTTATGTAGAGGAAGGGGGTGGAACTTTTTAGGGTGGAGCTTTCCAGGATGGAGATTGGTGAGATTTTGTGTTCAGAGATTGTACAGTTTTATTCTGTAGGGTGGGGGCAGGATCCAGCAGTTAGGGCAGTTAGAGTGTTCTGTGGGTAGAACCTGGCAGTTAGAGGTCTTCAGGGGGAGGGTCCTGGCCACTAGCGTGGCTCAAGGGGCCTTACAATTGTGTAAAGAGAAAAATGTGGAAATAAACATTTTAAGTCATTAGCATGAGTGTCAGTGAATGCTGATGGGAATAGATTAAGAATAGAAGGTAAGATGAAGATAGAGGCAAGAGGGAAAAAGAAAGAAAATTGGATCTTTTTAAAAAAATATTTACTATTGTAGAGCTTGAGTGTCTAATTGTATTTTAACTTATTGTGCTGTTGATGCATATCTGGACTGTTTCTCACTGAGGTCCAATATAAGTGCTTCTCTGAGTGTTTATCATGTGGGACAAAGTTCAACATTTCTGTTGGGTTTACCCTCAGGGGTAAAATGACAGACAGCTGTTTTTATACGCAGTGTCGATGGCTTTCACAAGCACAATCTGAAGCAAAAGAAAATGTACACATATGATGATCATATGTTTCTATATCAGTTCATGTGCAAATTGGAAACTCTAGTGCCAGAAACCAGAATGACAATGGTTCAGTCACAGGTGAGTAAGCGGAAACAAAAGAGGAGCTTTGGAGACACGGATAAAGGTATTGGAGAAGAATTTGTGTGATAACTGAACATACGGTTTACTTGAATAAAGTCATACTTAGATTTTAATAAGACCCCTCATTCAATCATGTTTATATCCATGTTCAGGAACTTACACAAATTAAGATTTTAGCAAAGCAGCGTTTTGAACCCTATGCTTACATACCTTTGTTCCCTGATTACAACTAGAAGGCCTACAGCGAGATGAGAACAGAGAAAGGAGGTACCTGTGCCAGGGGAAGACCGACCACTAGCAAGACTGAAAAAGGTGCTCTCAAGACGAAGCAGACATCAAAGTAGGAGAAAAGTTGTTTGTACAAACCATGCCAAAATTCAAGACACCAGTAAGAGAAGTTTCAATACTCTATTTTAAAAAAAAAAATTAAAGCTATTATGAAAACCCAGAGCAGCAACTGTTGGTAAAGGGAGCCACAGGACATTCACAATACAGCGGTGATTGCAGCAGAGCTCACAGCTGCGTGCAGCTGTCGGCATGTGCAAGCAGGCTTTGTGGACTGGGGACACTGTCCCTCTATGATGAAGCTGTGGCTTGGACGAGGACTCTCCAAAGTTCAGGTGTTGGAACATAGTGTCAATAAAAGATTAGGTCTTTAAGAGCTCAAGAGGGTGTCTTCCCTCCAGAATGGGAGCTAGGGCTCTAATCACAGCCCGATGGAGGGAGTCTGGTCCCCGTTTCCTCTTCCACCTTGTGCCATGTGAAGATCTCACCAGATACCCTTGAACTTGGACTTCCCAGCACACAGAGCCACAGACTACAAATGTCTATTGTTTCTGTTTGGCTCTGGATATTTTGTTATAGTAACATGAAATGGACTAAGGCACTGAGCCAAGGAGGAGAGGAGAGACTCCTAGCTAGTTCCACAGAGCAGAAAGCAACCAGAATTACCCAGCCATTTACACAGTCACTAACTTAGAATTACCCAGCCATTTACACAGTCACTGATTTATACATCAAGGACCTAAGAGGCACAAGAAAAATGTCTGAGGAGGGGAAAGAGAAGCCAGCTTCTGATATGGTGAGCTTTGAGCAAAGACCTAATCATATAAGGTAAGCCATGAAGGAATTTGGATCACATGGATCTAGGCAGAGGTGAGAATATGCTTGGCATATTTGCAAGACAGGGCAGACGCGTGTGATGGACCACACTGAAGAAAACGGTGATTGATGGCACCTTCAGTCAGTGGAGTGTGGTAGGGCCAGCACCCCTGCTGCCTCATAGGCCCTGTCTGAGGAAGACATAGAATTTTGGGAGTCTGAGAGCCATCAGCTTTGTCGATACTGAAAAGGGCCTGGGCTCCTCCATGGAACATCAACACTGTAGGGGTGAGGTGACTCGCTCTGTGATGGTTAATACTGGTTGTTAACTTGACCGCATTTGGAGTCAACTATGAGCCAAGCATCTGGGCCCACCTGTGAGGGATTCTTGTCTTGAACAGATCATTTGAGGCGGGAAGATCCACCTGGACTCTGGGCCACGCCCTCTGGTGGCAGCCCACGTACAAAGGCACGGAAGAAGGAAGCGGCTGCTTTTTGCCTGCTTGCCCGCCTCACTCTCAAGGGCAAGTCCACTTACCCTGCTGCTGAGACATTGTTTTGCTTGTATTAGAACCCTACTTCCTCGGGATTCCAATACAGACTGAAGACTAGCTGAGACATCCAGGCTTGTCTCCAGTCAGAGACAACCATTTTTGGACTAGCCAGGCCACACCAACAGCCTGTAGTCATTCTAATAATTTTCCTTTACACACACACACACACACACACACACACACACAGAGAGAGAGAGAGAGAGAGAGAGAGAGAGAGAGAGAGAGAGAGAGACACACACACACACACTAGTTCTTTCCTCTAGAGAACCCTAACTAATGGAGATTCTTAAGCCTCTGAGACCACAAGCCCAGAGTAGCCCTTTCTTCTACTTCTATAGTTGCCTCAGTCATGAGTTTGATCATCACAATAGAAAACGGATGAACACAATCCCTTTCTCTTTTTTATGTTTCTTGGTTAGTCTTTCACATTCATTTCTTATGACTAAGACTTAAGATTTTGTTGTTGTTGCTTAGGAAACTGTGTGGGCTGGGAGCCATGGTTGGAGGCTAAGGGCACTTGCTGTTCTCCAGAGTCTCCATAGAGGGGGCTAAGAACTGCCCCTGCTTCACAGATCCCATCCCTCTGGCCTCTGTAAGGACCTGCAACCTTGCCTATACCCACATAAATAATACCATAAATTAAATCTCAAAAAATATTTTTAAAAGTCCAGCTGGCATTCTGACTTGATAGTACATTACAAAAATTAACATAGAAGGGCGTTCACCTTCACAGTGCTGAGTCTTCTAAAAACAAAGCCTGTCTTGGCAGTAGTCAAGAAGACTGCATTTTCTGGGTATGCAAACGTGGATTACTCGTCAGCCTCACATCATTCTGTCTTCATCGCTGCCCCTATTTGGGCAAAATAATTCTATTCGAATTCAGTAGTTAACTGACAAGACAAAAGTCATTGAAAATTCTAACTACATTTGAACTATTGAGAAGCTGTGCCCCAGTGACCGAGGGGACTGTGTGTTTCTAACTAGCTTCCTTTCCTGAGGGGGATAAAAGATGACATCCTGGGATTCACGACAGTATTCTAACGCTCACCACCCCTTTCGAGCTTTTCCTTCACTCCCTTCTTTCTTCCCCTCCACTTCTATCCCCTCTCCCTGTCTCCTCCCCATCTCCTGGCAGATGGACTTGTCCTTGTCCTCATTGTCACAGAACACAACACGGCTGTCTTAGGACGTACTCCCTTCCATCTCCTTTCTCCTTAAAGACACGGTCTTTCCCTTAGGACTTTTGGCTCGGTGGAAATATTCATTTTGGGGCTGGGAGGTGGCTTGGTGGGTAAAGAGTCTGTGTCTACTGCGTGAGCATGAGGACCTGAGGTCGATTCCCGGCACCCATGTAAAAGCCGGACATCCCATCTGCCAGTAGAGACAAGAGAGACCCCAAGAAGTTGTGGGGTGTGTGTGTGTGGGGGTGGGAATGGGGAAAGTTTGCCGGGTCAGACAATTTAGTTGAATTGGTAAGCCCCAGGTTTACCTAAAAAAATATGGTAGAGAGCAATTGAGGAAGCACTCCGTTTTTAGCTGTCTCCAGGTTCTACACACTCCTTTGTGGGTGTGCGCATATCCCCAATACAAGTGTGCACGTATCATATACAGTAAATAATTACATGAATAAATAAATAAATAACCTTCATTTTGTCAGAAATGAATCTCTTTTTCTGGGCACGGATCCACCCTTTTCTACCTCTGTTAGAGCATTGCTCTGTCGGTCCCCCATCTTTCTTTCCACCATCTCCTTTCCTTTGTGTGTGAGTACCAGGTCTGCCTATTTAGAAAAGTCCTTTCTAGCGTGCCTTTTTTTTTTTAAACGAAGAGCTATTTTTGAAGCTTTCACAAGGAACTTTCTAGACAATCATTAGCAACAATTCACTGCCTCCACACAGTCATCAGCCTACTGTGTTGTGAAAGAAAACACTTCAAGCCACCACAGTTTTTACTGCTAAGCAAGACCAACAACAACCTTCAAAGTTGTCAAGGACAGAGGGCGAGTTTTGGTTTGCGACTTGACCTTGACGTGACATTGAGCCCACCTTGACGTGATGTTGAGCCGTGCTGAAAGCTTTGAGCACTGTTGACGACTCTTCAGGTTTTCTCCTTGGCTTCTTCCTATGCCCTCCCTCCCACCCTCCCTCTGTGTGTGTGCACGTGCAGGTAGAAACGCTGGTGCATGCTGTAAATGTGGAGGCCAGAGGACAAACTCAGGAGCCACCCCTCTGGTGCCATCCAGCTTGAGCTTCTTTTGAGAGTGTTTCCTATGGGAGCTCACCTGTTAGGCTAGGCTAGCTGACCAGGGAGCCCCAGGACTTGGCTCGCCTTTCCAGCACTGGAATTAAATGCAATGTTTTCTTCCCAGGGTTCTGGGCTGGAACTCGGGTCCTCTTGCTTTCCCGGGAAGCACTCGACTGTCTAAACCATCTCCCTAGCCCTCTGCTTGCTATTTTGCATTAACTGTTTTTTTTTTCTTTGTAAAACTTACTCATCTTTCTTTTCCTCCTTCCTCTGCAATAAATCCAAAGTCCCCGTGGAAAACTCCATGTGGATGTGTCACTAGCATCTCAAATTCAGAGTGTCCCAAACAGAGCTCCTGTTTCTCATTGAATGTGCTTTTCCCTAATGAAGGCTTTCTTGGGATAAAGGACACCACTGTCCCCTCTCCATCCAAGCTGGAAACCTGAGACATTCCCCCATGTTTTCCCCAGGACCATTCCTCATCAAGTCCCTTTTCATATGCGCCATAAAGTCTACCCAAGCTTTCATGCTTCCTCTCCATTCGTTGTCACTGTGTCCCCTTCTCTGGATGTCCTTCCTGCTGCCACTTCCACCTTCCCCGTTCCTCACACTATGGGGCAGCCAGCCTCCTGGAGTGTTCATTTGCTTAGGCTGCTCCTCTTGGAAGGTGGTTATGGTTACCATACCAATCTCTCAAACTCCTGGTCAACTAAAATAGCAACACAATATTCCAGGACTGCTTGTCATGGCTGTACGTCTGAATATGCCTCTTCTCTCCCTGAAATGTTTTATCTCCTTGACTTTATACGCCATGCATCTTTAAGATTACACCGAGTCTTTTCCGAAGACTTGAATTTTTTTTTTTTTGGTTTTATTATAAACATTCTCTTCCACGTGACTGGTTTAGGCTAGCACATGCCATGTGGCCAAGCAGTGTCTGTCACACTGTATTGTGATACTTGTAGGCCTTCTGTCCCAGCATGCTCACTGAAGGCAGGAACTATGCCTGACCCATGGTGGATGACCAATGTAATTTACCCAGTGGTTCGATCTTAACTGTCACACCACACATCCAAATAATGTTGAATATTGCTCTGCATGATACTCAGAACACAGTACCAACTGTCTTGTAAGAACTGCTTCTCTCTGCCAGAAGAGCTGGGTAAGCATCTATTGAAGGAGACTATCGACAGAGCAGAAGCCCTATATGGTCCAACTGTTTTCTCGCTTGAGTACAAAGGGGTCAGGATCCAACTGATAGCCCATGTAAACACCCTTCTTTCTCTGGATGATCAGTATCATGTTGACCAGGGAGCACCCAAGTCTTTCAGTCCAGTACCCACCCAAGGTTGTGGCACACCTTTACCTTCTTCTTTTTGCTGGGGCCTTCCTCTAAACTATTATTATTCCTTTATTATTATAACTATTATCACAATATTATTATCATTTCCATTGCACCATTACGTAGGTTCCCTTGGCCTGTGTGCTTCTGGTAGATTCCTCCACGTGTTGAGTAAAGCAAACTCCCTGATCTTTCCTACAAAGGAGGGATGCCTGGAGGTCATCGGCGGACGGATACGCACCTTATTCCAGAGAGAGAGTGGATTCCGGGGCTGTCCGAGACAGATCAGAGCGCACTCCGACCTCCCAATCCCTTGTGTGCAGCTGACACCACACGTTTTCCAGCCCTGGGCCGGCTGTGTACTGACCGCCCACTGTGGTTGCCTAGGAAACCCGCTCTCCGCCTCCCTTGACCTCTAGGTCGTGAAGGGGATGAAGAGGGCGGGGAAATCAGCTGCTCATCCTTGTCTGTATCACGTGGTGGTAACCTCCAACCAATCAACATAGGCGGGGAAGACACCCGCTCCCCTCCCCCCAAGATCCCTCGCTAGTGCTCCTTGGGGAAGCGGTGAGAGACCGTTGCTAGGCGCTGGGGTACATCTTTTCCCCCTTATTTGCTTCCAACGGCTGAGTGGCAGTTTGCAGACAAGCCGGTGAGGACGTGGTCCAGGCATTTTCACGGTGAAAGTTTTCGACACTTGGAGTTTCGAAGATAGTATTAACTGGTCTTGATCCCCACCACGGCATGGAGCAGCGGTGTCAAAAGACCTTATTCCCCCTCAGCTGGTGACCTCCGCCCCAGTTGCCGCGCCCCTGCAGCCTCCGGAGCCTTGTAATTGTAATCCCCGGGGAGCAAGAGCAAGAACCAGGCAGACTGAGGAAAGAATGGATGCCACTCTCTCCAAAAGACCCCTTGGGTCTTCTAGTTCTCAGGCAGGTTTTCGAGGGTCTTTTGTTTGCCAAAATGCTCAGGAGGCAATAATTATTTACAAAATAGAACAGAAATTAGAGGGGCAGTAAGAGACTGACTGAGAAAGCAATGAACTTAGAAAACAACCCAAACATCCCCAGTCAGCCCTCCACGTTCTCGAGATTCGCTCTGTACCCCACTACAGTGAGCAGTGTATGTGCCTTGAAAAATGGTAGTCCAAACCAGTGTGTGATACAATAAATACACTTTGTTCCTTAAATACCTAGTATGCAAAGAAGCAACGGAAACGGTTTCGGTAATGACTTTTACTTTGGTCACGCTGAAATATTTGGGGTGCACTGGGTTAAATAAAAGCTTTTTAATTAAAAAAAGAAAACAAACTATCTTTTTTCATTATACATACCAATCCAAGTTTCCACTCCCTCCCCCCTCTCCTCCCATTTCATCCACTTACTCCCGCCCCCCCCACACACCTTTAAAGGCTTTTTTAATGTTGAAAATTTGACTCTCAGAACAATTTATAATTGCTTAGGCATTGGCTTATTTTGAACAGAGAATGTCGCTGTTTGCTGTCTATTGCAAGGGTTAAACACCTGACCCAACACAACTTGAGGGGAGGGTTTACTTGATGAATATGGCCAGACCACAGTCCTTCCAGGAGATAGACAGGGAGGATCTGAAGCGGGAGCAGAGGCAGGAACTGCAGGGAAATGCTGGCCCATTGCTTACAGTTCATTGCTTGCTCACCTTGTTTGCCTATACAGCCCAGATCCACATGCTCAGGGTGGCATTGTCCACAGTGGGCTGGGCCCTCTCGTATCAATGTCCCACAGACATGACCTCAGAACAATTTGATAGGGGCAGTTCCTCAGTTTAGAGTCCTTCATTCTATCGAAGTTTGTACCAAACTCACAAAAAATAAGAAGATACGCTACAGACATGCCTTCGGGCCAATCTGATGGAGGCGCTTTCTCAAAGTTCCCTCTTACCGGATGACTTTAGCTTGTTTTTACAATTCATGGAGGTTTTGTTAATATTTATGATCTTTGGGTCTTCCTGCAAAATAGTGTCTGTAATGCTCTTTCCCATCACCAGATGGCCACTTTGCTCCTCCTAGTTTTAAATTGGTCTCTCAAGAAAAATTTCAGATTTTAAATATTTCTATTTAAAGACTCTAGAGTTACTGTAACACCTATGCTGACTTTAACTATCTGTGATACCTCCGGTAAACAAACTCACAGAAAAAGTAAATTAATTTTCCCTCCGTGTTTTCATTTCACTGAACATTGCTTCCCCCGTTAGCATCAGATTAAAATTAAACCAATTGGAACATTTGTGGTTTGAGGGTAAAACTGAAATCAAGGTTTAAAACATCTGAAATATGTTTTACTTTTATGATAGTCCTCTCTTGAGGATCTAATTGAACAAGATAACCTACACTTGGAGAAACTTTTTTTTTTAAAAAAAAAAAGAATTTAAAGACTAATTAGAAGGTGCTGTGATAGTTTCTATTTTAACATTTTAGGGAAATTGCATCATAAGTCAGTCAGACAACTGATGCATCAAAATTTTCACTTTGGAGTTTGCTAGTTAGTTTTTCCTTTTTTTTTTTTTCCCTTCCCTTCCCTTGCCTTGCCTTCCCTTCCTCCCCCCCACTCCTCCTTCTTCTCGACTTGACACAAGCTAAAGTTATATGGCAAGAGAGAACCTTAATTGAAAAAGCGCCTCCATCAGATTGGCCCAAAGGCCGGTCTGTAGCGTATCTTATTGTCAATGATTGACATGGGGGAACCCAGGCCACTGTGGGCTGCTCCACCGTTGGGCAGATGGTCCTGAATTGTGTAAGAAAGCACCGAGAAAGCCATGGGGTGGGAAGCAGCAAGCAGCCTTTCCCCATGGTTCTGCTTCAGCTCCTGCCTCCGGGGTCCTTCCTTGATTTCTTAACTCCTCTTCAGGGATGAAGTGTGGTTTGAGGTTTGCAAGATGAAATAAACCCTTTCCCATCTAAATTGCTTTTTAGCCATGATGCTTATCAGAGCAATAGAAAGCAAACTAGAACAGGAAGAATGTAGTGTTTGGGGATGAAAATACAGAGATGATCAGAATTCATTGTTTTGAAGGATAGCAATCTGTTGTGACTTCCCTAAAGGAGAAAGTGTTAGCATACACTGTATATTATATAAAAACAACGTATGTGTGAGTGCACGCATGAGGAGGCCAACCCTGCACCATTCTTCAGGAGCCCTCTATCTGTCATCTGAGACCTGGTCTCTGGCTGGAACTATGGTGAGCTGGCTGAGCAGAGAGCTACCTGCTTCCATCTCCTCTGTCTGGGATTATAGACAGACACTACCTACCAGAGTCTTTAACCTGGGTTCTGGGTCCTCATACTTGCCCAGCAAGCACCTTGCCTACTGAGGTTCCCCCTTGTATCCCCCCCCCACCACATCATGTGAAGAATGCTCTTTTCCTCTAGGGAAAGCTCAAGGACTCTGTCAGCAGGAGCTGAATCAGTATCCTCTCCAAGTTCAGAGAAAAAAAACCTACGGTGATTCGTCAAATTAAAAACTCTGTCCAAAGTAAGTTTTAAAACATTGCTTGTTTATTCCAACACTCCAGATGTTGTCTAAAGCAAAAGATGCTTACAGTTCAATGCCACAGAACTGGTTTTCATTCATCTCTTCTCACTCTGGGCTTGTTTTATTATACTTTTTTGTGTGTCTGTAAAAAACAAAACAAGACAAAAAAAAAAAAAAAACTCTAACAACAATGAAAGTGAAATCCCTAACAGAGCTGAAAGGAGAAGTGAGCATACCTCCCATCCCTACCCCAGGAGCATCTCCAATGGTTAGCCACTTGCAAATGAAAATTTAGTTTACTCCAAGGGACTTACACTAGGGAAACAAAGTCCTTTTAAGATGAACTCAGTGGCATCTTTTGGAGGTTCTTTGTTTCGTGATGTTGTCAGGGCTCCCCCCATCTTACTTTTTTTATTTTTATTTATTTCATTTTGCCTTACAGGTCCTTTTTGTAGATATTATGGATTCCAATTTAGTGTTTTTATGAGATTCCTGAGTGTGTGAGTGAGTGGGTCTCTATACCTATATCTGTTTCCGGAGCCTCTTCTTTGTCTCTTTCCCTCCTGTCTAATGTGTTAGTTTTTATTTTGTCTTCTTATATTATATTTTATTATTATCCCTTAGAAGCCTGTTTGCTTTCTAATTAGGGACATAAAGGGGAAGGATCCTGATGAGAGGGGAGGTGGGTAGGAACTGGGAGGAGTAGGGGGAGGGAAACCATAATTGGTATATATTTTGTGAGGAAAAAATTCTATTTTGAACAAAAGGAAAAATTCAAAAGAAAAATTTGAATGGTGTAATCATTCATTAATTAACATCTTTTAGACTAGCCTTTAAATTTATTTATCCAAGAGACCTATCATTAAGAAGAGAGAATGACAGTAATTTCTAATTACAACTCTGCTTCATCATCCCATCAAATGCGAGACCAGAGAATTGAAAGTCTGGAGACTTTAAGTGCTAATTTGAATTTTATATTCTTGTAGACTCTTGATCTTTATATAAATGACTGCTTCCCGGTTAATGATTTCATTAGATTGTCTGTAAAAGTTCACTATCTCATACTTGAATTTTGCATGGCATAAAAACCCACAAATGAAGTATGATTGAAGGATTACTCAGGCAGTAGCCAGAGTAATTACGTGGTACTTACAAAGTCATCTTCAGAGGCCTTCTTATTCACATCTAGCAATGAATATTCAAATTTTAGGAAATGAATATATTAAGGTGTAATTAAAAGTTAAATGTTGTTCTAGACAAACTTTTAATTAGGTCAACACAATTCTCTTTCTAAGGTTTCTATCTAGAAGAGTTAGCATAAGTAATGGATAGAAAAAGACACCTCCTCTGTCTCAGATAACTTCACCTCATTGTGCCATTCTGGTTATGTTGGTATTGACATCTCGGCAGCAGCCCAAGGACAGTGAATTTAAGCCTGAGTGTTTGACTTAATCCACTGGAGAAATGACTCCTTCTTCATGAAGCTGTCTTCAGCCTTTCTGTATTTAGAACTTAGGTTGAAACTCTTGATCATGTTCTTGGATCTGAACACATTACCCAACTGAGCACACAAAGACCTTCTCTATTTATCTATTTATCTTATCTATTCTTCAGCTTTTGTCTATCTCCTACCTCTTCACAAATTAAGTTTTCTTATTATGATCAATACATGTCAGTTACACAGAACAGTGGGTTTCTTTGTGATATTTTCATACACACGTTACTTATTTTGATCGTATTCATCCTCTAGTACCCTCCCTTCTTCAATAGATCTCTGTGTATTTTCACGTTGTTTCTTTTCTCCCCTCCTTTCTCTAGATTCTGTATATGAGAG